TATTGAAACTCAAAATTTCGACCCGAAAAAAAAAACGACAGTGTTACCCCTTACGTTTTTTTTTTTGGCGAAAAATTAAGTATCCGCAATCTTCTCAAAACTCTGGATTCTGATAGAGGGCCATGAGACTTAGACCTGAGTGCAACAATGGAGGCTCTAGACCCTTCCAGAGCTGAGATATCGAAAATCAAAATTTCGACCCGAAAAAAAAACGACAGTGTTACCCCTTACGTTTTTTTTTTTTGGCGAAAAATTAAGTATCCCAATCTTCTCAAACTCTGGATTCTGATAGAGGGCCATGAGACTTAGACCTGAGTGCAACAATGGAGGCTCTAGACCCTTCCAGAGCTGAGATATCGAAACTCAAAATTTCGACCCGAAAAAAAAAAAACGACAGTGTAACCCCTTCGTTTTTTTTTTTTTTCGGCGAAAATTAAGTTTCTCCAATCTTCTCAAAACTCTGGATTCTGATAGAGGGCCATGAGACTTAAACCTGAGTGCAAAAATGGAGGCTCTAGACCCTTCCAGAGCTGAGATATCGAAATTCAAAATTTCGACCAGAGAAAAAAAACGACAGTGTTACCCCTTACGTTTTTTTTTTTGGGGCGAAAAATTAAGTATCCCCAATCTTCTCAAAACTCTGGATTCTGATAGAGGGCCATGAGACATAGACCTGAGTGCAACAATGGAGGCTCTAGACCCTTCCAGTGCTGAGATTTCGAAACTCAAAATTTCGACCCAAAAAAAAAACGACAGTGTTACCCCTTACGTTTTTTTTTTTTTGGGCGAAAAATTAACTATGCCCAATCTTCTCAAAACTCTGGATTCTGATAGAGGGCCATGAGACATAGACCTGAGTGCAACAATGGAGGCTCTAGACCCTTTTTCATATATATAGCTTTTGATCCTATCTTACTCATCTCATGCGGTTCACTTTTTATATAGCCTACTCAACATAGATGAAATAATAAAAATAAGTAACATAATATTATTAAACATAAATGTGAAACGTAGCCTATGTTTTTTTTTAGGTTTTTTTTTACTTATATATTTAAGCGTCACGCCGCTCCGCTTTGCTCACATTCTATGTAGCCTATACATGCATGTGTGTGTGTGCATGTGCTGGAGGGGGGCCCATCCCTACTTTTGAATATCGTTATCATTATTGATCATTTGTAATAATTAGTTTTTTGCATGCATATGTAGAAATTATACTATTTTTTTTTTCAGGTTTGACACTTTACTAAAAATGACTGAATGTAGGCTATTAGTACTAAATAACTTTACATAACATTACTATCATTACATTTTTCAGGTTGTTTTACTAAATTTAATTTATATTAATTTATAGCATGAGCCCCTGATTATGTTGCATGTTCTCTTGTTTTTTTTTTTTCTTCTTTTCTTTTAAAGACAAACCTTATTTTTACAAAAAAAATTGATGGATTTATATAGCGTTTTGAAAAAAAAAATGAATTTATCATTAACAATATTGTTGTTTGATTTAATAATCATTGTTCAACATGTTCAGACTGAACCAATAAAACATTTAATTTGAATATTCACAAAATGTGTGGGTCTAGGTAAAAAATGTAGTTTTCCTGAAAACTATTGAAAAAGATTTAAAGCGTTTTGGAAAAGAACTCCTCGTATTTTTTTTTTTTTTTTTTTTACGGAACTGCTTTTGAAATTACGATTGGTATTATTATAGATGTAAAGAAGTCATTCTGTTGGATACTATTTTGTTCCTTCCTTAGTGTAAAATGGAAATATATATATATATATATATATATATATATATTTTTTTATAAATACAAGCAAAAAAAACAAAACAAAACAAAAAAAACTAAATGGTGTAACAGTTTTAGAACTAGACTAATCTTTCTGCATAAATACCTAAATCTAAAATTGAACTACAGTTATCCATGTTGAATCGGGCTTCGAACCCATGTCATTATCATGTTCTAACTGTAAGTTCTACCACTCGGCTATGTGTTCACTTCGAGGAAAATGCCCAAACATATGTTTCTCCAGTGAGTATTCGCTCATGAGCAGGAAAACGTTTTGTCGTTAACCTATTGTGAGTGTAAGCCTACTTTACACGAAAACGTACACCTTTTACAGTTTAAAAGATGATTTTATTTTAGCTGTTATGAGAAAAATTAATTCAAGTGAACACCGCCGCGTTTGTCGAACACAATTAATGCCAGAATAAAACCTGATTTTAGAATAGGCCTACACTGGGCGTGGTGTGTCAAAAAAATACTCAATTATAAACTTCAATATTTCAATATTTCGTTCAAAACCACCTCAAAACAATTCGTGACATTTTAAAAAGCCGTGAATCAATGTATTAAGGCCATTGAAACTGAAACTGACATCTCTCAAATACAGGAGCAAAAGCGCTGGTTCAGATTTTATTATTTGTTGTTTAAACATGCGTGTTGCATATTTAAAAATAAATAAATATATTTGATATGGTCTAGGCTAATTATAACATTGATCACTGTGGGGGGGGGGGGGTGTTTTTTTAATTCTACATGGAACCCCATTAAGTTTTATTTTCTATATTTTTTGCATAACTACTTTTGAAGATGTAAATTCAGTCAATCTGTTGGAAGAGATTTGTTCCTTAGTTTAAAATAGAAATGCATGGTCATTTTATTTTATAAATATAAGCAAAAAAACTAAATGGTGTAACAGAGTTTTAGAACAAATCTTTCTGCATTAATAGCCTAAATATAAAATATAACTATAATAATCCATGTTTGAGCAAGCTTCGAACCCATGTGTTTGTAATGGTAAAACCGTAGGCCTATGCTCTACCACTCAGCCATGTGTTCGGTCTAAAGAGTAATAAATAAATTCAAGTCACCACCGCCGCGTTTGTCGAACAATAGGCTATTAAGGCCACTGAAACTGAAACGCGCGCTGCATGTTATGTGTCAATACAGGCGCAGAAGCGCTGGTTCAGATTTTATTAGGCTATTTGTTGTTTAAACGTGCGTGTTGCATATTTAAAAATATATATACACATATTTGATATTGTCTATTTAGGCGAATTATAGCAGCACTTTATTTTCGCTGACTGCGAGATAGGCCTATTTTAACTTTTGATTAATAAAATGTTCTCCTATAGCCTAAAAGTTTCTATTCTAGTTAAAGCTATATTCTATTTAAAATGTAGGCTACTTTTACATAATTACGTTTTGCTTTCGCTAAATGTCCCTTTGCGCCACCTGGTGGTCATTTCGCCACCGACTTTGAAATACGGCTGGTTTATTTTTGCCTTGCCGCGGCGGTAAACGACATTCTGGTTGTCCACCTACTGTATTATTAATAATGTTTGCTGTTATGTTTTCTGTTGCATGCTCAATATGGCCTAGTTATATTGTGTTGTGTGCGTTTTGTACACTCTGCACAGCTTCTAAACGGGGTAAAGTTAGTTTTGTTTTTGATATTCACCAGACATTCACTGAAAAATGGCAATTACCTCCTAAACGACTTAGCCAAATATGACTTCGCTCTATATAATAAGCACTGCCCCTCAAAAGACGCCGCAATGTGAGTTTCGCCGGGAAAGCTCGCTCTTGACGGAGACACGAGTAAGGGACCGTGTGGAAAGTGCACTTTTTCTGACTATATACAATTTTCAACACTTGACAAGCTATAATCCTGGTTATGGGCGTTCCATTGCCGACAATCTCTGCCTACGGTTTACCAATAACAACTGACTGGGTCATTTGACCAATCGCCACAGATTCGCGTCACTCAAAGGAGGTATTTGGGAAAATGAATCGTCGAACGAATCATTTGGGAGTCGTTGAGCAAATCAGTTAAACATAAACGCATATTATAAGACAAATAAAGTGTTTTTTATTCTTGCATGCACGTTAAACTGTTTTTGGGAACTCCCAAAACAAAAATAGGAACATTTCAAATGTTATGATAGGGGCTCTTTAAAATCTCTAACGTAACGTTAGTCTAAGGTTAGACGTACATGAGAAAACATTAACGTTAGCTTCTAGCTGCGTTGTACATCATGTCACTTAGCTTCATTAAAGTATCTGTAAATAACTGAGATAACAAATGTTAACAATGTTGTGCTGAATGATTCATGTAAATAGTGTAGCACCAAACGGTGATGGCAACGATATGCGGTTCATCACGTTTACACTGTGACCTGTACATTTTTGCCAGGAGCTGAAGCTTTTCATCGACCTTCTCAACAATAAAATTATTAATATAACCCTCCAATGCATAGTTAAGGCCCTTTAGGTGACTTCAAGATGATATATAATCTTTCTGTCTCCAAACATCACCAATCGCCTTCTGTGAAATGTCTCCTACTGTGACCGCTGCCATAGCACCTGTCCCCGAATGTTGACTGTTTGTCCGAGTGAGTGGAGGGGGCGTGGCTTAGCCATAGATCAATTGAAATCATTTCGTGATTGATGAACTGATGCTGTATTTCCTGTTTACCATTGTTAAGCTGCTTTACCATTGTGCTACTTAATTGAAATGGCAGTCTGTATATCAGGGGCGCCTGCAGGATTTCATCTGAGGGTATGCACAGATGGGAAAAAACACTAAAAAGTTAAGTTTTTTTAAAATTATATATATATATATATATATACATGCTTGTGTTAAAATTTTGAGTATATCTTTTTTGAGTATATCTAGCATTAATGTAACTATTATTAAACAATTCAATAAGACTTGACCAGACCAGAACAACCTGACCAGAACAAAGGCCACAAAAACGGCACAAAAAAAAAGTGGTCAAAAACACCCATCTAGTGCATTTTCACAGGAAACTAACTGAAAATCAGCGTAGGTGACACAAAAATCCTTTTTGTGTGAATGGTCACTTATTCACGTGACAATGAAGTTACCTCACAAAAAGTAGCCTCATGTCTCAATTGCTTATAGGTGAATATCTGCTGTTGTATATATTTGTTTAAACTGTAATGAACTTCAATGAATGAACTTACATGATAAAGAATTTGATGAAACTCAAACATTACCTAGAATGCCACTCTCAACACAGCTGTAGTCTATGAGTTTGGATCCTGGCCACTGCATCACTGTCCTCTTAAGGGTCCTCAAAAACAGCGATTCAGACACTTTCTCACCACGCACGCTCAACATCTGACCACGCCTGGACACACGTTGAAGAAACGATGACATAGAAATATGTTTTTAATTGATTAGATCAGTGCTTCTCAAACATTCAGGTACTAACTTTGATAAAAAAAAATGTCCAGCTTGGCGCAAACAATAATCTGTGAGTAAGAATTTGTAGTGTGAGGACTGTGAGCAGCATAATGCCATATTCTGCTACAGGGGCAAACAGAATAATAATGAATCTGATTCAGTGTTTGGTCAGTAGTGTGCCACACCATTAGATAATCCATTACATTAATGCATTTGGCAGCTGTATTTATCCTGCATTTAAGGAATACATTCCATCAATTTCATGCATTCCCTGGGACATGAACCCATGATCTTAGAGTTGCAAGTTGCCACACAACACTGTATGTTCTACAGGAATGGAGCTCCAGTATTTTTTACAACTAAAAAATATTTTTAAACAGTGTGAAATAGTGTTGTACTGTGTATCACCGTTTAAGAACTACTTGATTAGATCATGTAAAATAAACCTATACCATACCTATACTGAAACTCCACTTTTGGACACTGGTTATGAAACCCGACTACTTTCACAACATCTCCAATGCGATACCTGAAAAACATAGATAAACACTTAAACGTCTAATACATTTACTTTCTAAGTTTCTAAAATCTGGTTATTGTTTCTCGGAAAAAACTGAACAACGATGTTGAAGCCCATGTTGACACGCCACTATGTGACACATTTGTATTGGTCAAAACATCTGAAGCGAAATAACACAGACACAGTACAAAGATGTACGTGTATGAAATCAAACGTACTTTGAAAAGCGAAGCGTCTGCTGTACACGCTATTTGTCAAAACTGAAGTATACTTTGGGCTTAAAGGATTAGTTCACTTTTGAAAAAACTTTTGCTGATAAATTACTCACCCCCATGTCATCCAAGATGTCCATGTCTTTCTTTCCTCAGTCGAAAAGAAATTAAGGTTTTTGATGAAAACATTCCAGGATTTTTCTCCTTATAATGGACTTCAATGGGAACCAGGTCCAACCGAGGTCCAAACGACAGTTAATAACAGTTTCAGGTGCAGCTTCAAATGTCTTTAAACGACACCAAACGATGAATAAGGGTCTTATCATGCGAAACGATCGGTTATTTCAAAGCTTATTCCAAAAATGTAACTTTTCTAAGGACAAATGCTAGCCTTTCTCCATTCTGTGAGGCGCGTTTGTAACGTCACGTAATACGTAATTACGTTCAAAAGGTCACGGGCGACGTAGCCGGAAGTACAGAATCAAAATCGTCCGACATCGTTGTTTTACCTTTTAATTCCTTTTTTGTAAACGCCGTTTGAGTTAGTTTTCACGTTCAACCTATGCGTTCAACTTGTAAACACTCTGACTCTGTACTTCTGGCTACGTCGCCCGTGACCTTTTGAGCGTAATTACGTATTAAGTGACGTTGCAAACGCGCCTCACAGAATAGAGCAAGGCTAGCATTTGTCCTTAGAAAAGTTACATTTTTGGAATAAGCTTTGAAATAACCGATCGTTTCGCATGATAAGACCCTTATTCATCGTCTGGTGTCGTTTAAAGACATTTGAAGCTGCACCTGAAACTGTTATAACTGTCGTTTGGACCTCGGTTGGACCTGGTTCCCATTGAAGTCCATTATAAGGAGAAAAATCCTGGAATGTTTTCATCAAAAACCTTAATTTCTTTTCGACTGAGGAAAGAAAGACATGGACATCTTGGATGACATGGGGGTGAGTAATTTATCAGCAAAAGTTTTTTCAAAAGTGAACTAATCCTTTAAGCAAAAAAAAAAAAAAAAAACCTTTTGGAGGATGAATTGTACAAAGATCCAAAAGACAAAAAAAAATTATATTAATTGAGGAAGAAGCACTGCATCAATACATGATTTCATTAAAAAAATATCAATTTAATTAATTGTAGCCTATTTGCAATGTTTTTTGTACACAAAAAAACTTTTTTATTCCTCCTTAAAACTATTAAGAACTGAACGGACAGATGGTATAAGAGCAGCGAAAGTAAATGTTAAGCAGCAGGATCATAGACCTGACCTGAATAATCCTGAGGCATTGGTGACCAGCAGCTCATAGTTGTGTCCTTCTTGAAGCTGCTCTATCAGGAGAGTTTTGGGCTGCTCTAAATCCAGATCCTCCTCTGGTATAAACTCACAGAACATGGAGCGGGGACACAGGAGATACTGTCTGCTCTCCTGCAGAGGCCACAGGTTCACACCTATCAAGCCTGAAACATGAATTACAGAATATTAAACACAACTAACGCATGTATGTGAGCTCTACCCGCTGCAAGTATATGCTTCATTCACAACTTTGCAGCTAATTGTTTGCTGTTCTGAATAGTAGGCATTGCTAGTTCTCAATAATGTTTTAAAATATTGACCCAGCACCTGGACTGAGACACACTGGGAATAAGATACTCCAGTATAATAGTTGTCGCTGCATCAAGTTGCTCTGAATTGGCATAGTTTGCTGAAAAACTCAACACGTCCACAACTAGTTACTAAGAGTCAATTGAAAAATAGACAATAATAGAAAATGAGGTCTGCCATTTTCATTTATAAAGAAATATATATAGTGATGGTATTTTCCAGTGCTGTATTTAAATACATTTAAACTACATATAGCATGATTATGGTTTAAATGACTGTATTTAACATATTACTGTTAATTAAGACACATAGAAAAACATGACTTTATCTCTATTACAACTTCAGGTAGTGGATTGTGAAGTATTCAAGACACAACTGCTTGATTTTGAATTTCATTTAGATAATTCTTGAAGTCAGAATTCAGTGCATGACATTCAATTCAGCAATCTTAGGGGATATGTTACGAATATCACGAAAAATATTAAAAACCTGTGCTTTTCATGGCTTATTTCACTAAAGGTGCAGTCTGTAAGAATGACTAGTGGTCGAAATAGGTACTGCAGTCCAATTCAAAATATTGGAGATCGTTGTTTCTCCCGCCACCTGCTCCTCAGACTCGACGGCACTCACACGGTTGTCAGTTTGAGCACACGCAACAGGAATAAGCGCAATGGAAATTGGCAAATTGGCAACGTGCAGTATCACAGACCAAAACAAAAACAAACATTACAGCCAGGAAATGCACATTTCAAAGTAAAATAACTGGCTGTAGAAGTGGTTTTTAGAGAAAAAAATATGTGATCTTAGCATGTTTCCTCCATATATGCAAACATTTTATGGTATTATTATGGTTTAGTAGAGTGAAAAAGTTACATACAGCACCTTTAATATATCACAATCCAATTAACAAATGTACACTTCGGTGTTTTCCTTCGAGGTAGCAAGGGAGGCATTGTGGGTTTTTGGGTTCAACTGAATGAGAAAATAATCTACAGTACAAAAAATATTACATTAAAAATTCAATAAATCTCCTGTTTTTCTAAAACGACAAACCAACACCAGCAGTTGAAGTTTCGGTAGGAGGTAGCCTCCCCTTGTTATCTCATGCATAACCAAATAAACGCTGGTCAAGTCATGTCACATTTGAACCTGAAATGATTTGAAAACATGATCTGTGAGTTTTTTTGTTTTTTTTTTGTGAACAATCAGTTTGATGAAATTAAAGGTATGTCTGTATATCTGTGACCATCACGACACCTGCAGTGTTTACAGAAATTGAATTACTGATAATCCGAAAATAAGCTGATTATTATAAAGAACAGCTTAACATCAGTCCACAAATAAAAAGCGTTACTGTGTTATTAGTTATTGTTTTGAATTGTTTTTTTAACTTGAGAAATATATTTTTTTAAATAAAAGAAACATTACTTACACTATTAAGAAAAGAACAACTAATACAATTCTAAGTAATGTTAATTTAACCTGAAAAAAGTGTCAAATTAAGTGTAACTGGAACATAAAACAGTGTGAACGTTGACTCCTCATTTTTGAACACCACTGCACAGCCCTGGTAAACACATACACAACGTACAAGGAAACACACCTTCAGTGGCAGCGTAGAAAGGGGAGTAGAACGGGACATCTTTACAGTAATTCTGTCTTAACATCTCCCCATAAATCTGGTTTGAGCCCGAGTCCACTGCCAGGACCAGGTGTAACTTGGGCCATAGTCTGAGTGCGATCCCCTCAAAGCCTTTCTCAAACTGGGCTGTGAGCTCAGTGGCTCTCACTGGATCTGGCTTCATCAGCTTCTCTAGAGCACAGCGCACGTCAGCCTTCAAGTTCAGACTGGAGTTGATCCTGCCCACTTCCACATCCACAACAAGATCTTTCCAATGTTCCTAAATGAGATAAACACAGGGTCATGATGTCTATGATATATTCAGAGTCAGATATAAAACAATGAGCTTATCACTTCATTAGTGATCTCGGACCTTTGGTCCTCATTGTACCTGCAGGGCTCTGAAGGCATAAAAGACGGTAGAGCAGAAGTTGGATTCCAGCATGCCGAGATTTCGGTCCTTCAGCCCAAACAGCAGATGCAGATACAAGGCGTCTCTCTCATTCAGCACCTAGAGACAAAAACAGTATCTTTTAGATTCTGTGTACTAGTTTTAGAAACTATGGTTAAACACATTTCATTTTAGTTGACAGGCACTTTTAACCAAAGTTAAGTTCAACTTAAATGGACTCGTAAGCAGATTGTACGAAATCTCATGAATGAGATGAGAGAACTAAAATTGAGTTTTCTATTTTGGTATATTACTTGTATGTTTCAAACACACTCCTAATGAATTTGTAATGTACTTGTAACACAAATAAAGTACACTTTAATCAAGAATGTAATTAGTCCCTATAGGCATATAGTTAAAGTATACTAAGTATACTTGAAGTTTGTCCAATTTCTTACACAAAAGAACACTAAATACACTTAAAGTTATGCTTTACTACAATTTAATTATAACTAAAATATACTTAATACAAAATGAGTTAAAATAGCACACTTCAAGTTAACTAATCATTAACACTTGAAGTATGCTGATAATTGAAGTATGCTGTCTAGCAGCAAGTATACTTGTGCTGTTGATGTCATGTGCAGGCAGACAGTATCCTGCTGTGATCTTTCCAACATTGTAAAAAAATACAATTGTATTTGAAGGATAGAATTTGAAGGAAACCGTAAGATTTGCATGTTTTTATTAAATGTTTTGTCAGTAACGTTTTATGTCTGGTAGCCCTCAAACTGTATTCACTTTATAGCCCTTAATCCTGTAATTGTGGACAAATGTGGGCACAGAGGACTCAGGTGTGATCCTAATTTTTATTTATTATAAATGTTATATCACTGTCTTCGATAAAGTTTTGTCTATCCATTTATGATGTTTTTTTTTTTTTATTTGGGGTTTTTTTTTTTTTTCAAAAAGTACCATATTGTAGTTTTATTTATTTTTTTTATTTTTTTTAACTACATTAAAATATCATTCCAATAAGTTCTTAGAGCTAAAACCTAAAGATGAAGTGACTTTGCTGTCACCTGGTGTCTTATTTTGGCTTATTTTAGAATGCTCTAAATTACAGTTTTTCCCATTCATTTCTATGGGTGCCCATTTTTGACCCAAATACAAGATTAAGGAGTTTTTTTTTTTTTCACCGACTTAACAAACTTAGGAAAAGTAGCCAAGTCTTGTACCGCTCAGATCAAGGGAAGTATTTTTTAAAAATAAATGAAAACTATTTTGCCCACATTTGTACAGAATACGGTTTTAGGGTTAAGTCTGACAATTGTGTTTACACTACAAAAAAAATAAGGCCTGTCTGTTTCCATTAAAAATATGCAATATAAACATTCTAAAACATATGTTGACCTTATAGGCAAAATTGCATAAATTTGATTAGTTTAAAAAACAATTCAGAATGCTTAAAACAACAATCTCCTATATTTTAACTCCTCTCCACTTTAACCTGTTGTGAATTACGGCATACGGGTGTTTGATAACAATGACAAATCTAAAACAGTGGTGAACAGAAGAACCACTCATGGTTTGTCTCTCTTTTCACCTTAACATTTACAAATATTATCAGTGAATATCATGTTAAATTCATATTCATCCATCCCCTACCTGATAGACGGGTGCTGGTGTGGTGTACAGATGCAGCATGTGTCTAGAGGAGGCAGGGGTTGAGGAGTTGGGGCCAATGGGAATACCTGCCTCACTCTGACGAAAAAGGGGCGAGTAAAAAAGCTTCAGGGTCTTCTGGAGACTGTTGGTGGCTGGAAAGGCTCGACTCATAGCATCTAGACAAACAGTCACCCCCTGCCAGAAAAGTGCACAAAAATAATAAATGACATGCCCGCTGATCCTTTTTGAGCCATCTGGGAAATGTACAAAGACTTGTGAACTAATGATCATATTAGTTTCATTGATCACAAATTGCAGTAAACTAATTCAGCTATTAGATATCCAACCCTTGCAACAACCCCAAACTTGTTGCTAGTCAATCTGCATTGGCCCATTATTTCTAAAACTCTGCTCCTAAACATGTGTTAAAGGGATAGTTCACTTTGAAATTGATGTGTTGATATGTTTTAGCTTACCTCAAGTGCATCCAAGATGTAGGTGTCTTTGTTTCCACAGTATTTTCAATTTTGATATTTTTAGGTCAAACCGTTCTTGTCTGTCAGTCATATAATGGAGGTCTATGAGGTCCACCTCAAAGAACATGCACAGAGAAGTCCAAATTAAACACGATTTAATGACTCGTAAATGTAAGTACACTTTGATGGCCTAAGACACGAAATGAGCGGTTTGTGTGAGAAAACAAACAGTATTTATATTGTTTTAACCACAGCCACGTCCAACTGATCTGAGGGCACGGGCGCTTTGGTCTGCGCAAGGGCCGGAAAGCGCCGGAAGTCATCTCTCGCACGTGTACGTCACTCATTGTTTACACAGAGATTTCAGAAGTGTTGCCCTTCACTGTGAAGATCTAAACATATTTAGATATACAGGAAATTACAATAGAAGATGATTTCGATATATTTAGATTTTTTTTTTTTTTTCAAACCACGCGAGAGATCACTCCCAGTGCTTTCTGACGCTTGTGCAGACCCGAACGCCCGCGCCTTCAGATGACTTGGATGTTGCTGTGGTTACAAGAGGTAAAAACGATGTAAATACTGTTCGTTTTCTCCCACAAACCGCTCGTTTCATGTCTTAGGCCATCAGTGTGTACTTACATTTACGAGTCATTAAATCATGTTTAATTTTGACTTCTCTGTGCATGCTCTTTGAGGTGGACCCCCTAAACCTGCATTATATGACTGACAGACAAGAACGGTTTGCCCTAAAAATATCAAAATTGAAAATGCTGTGGAAACAAAGAAACCTACATCTTGGATGCACTTGAGGTAAACTAAAACATATCAAAAATTAATTTCAAAGTGAACTATCCCTTTAAGGAATCTGGCAGATTTCTCCATGTTTTTTCACTGCCTTCTGTGCAACCAATCATACTGAATAATGCTTTCCTACAATAATGAATGATAAATACTCTGACCAATATAAAGACAGGGGAAGTGTTTGGAAAACCTGTTTAAAATGTTTTGATGTAACATAACTTTGTACTTGTAAAAATGCTTATGTGTGACCTGTAGAAAGAATTCTGTGTTGGTGTCTTTGGTGCTCAGAAGCATACGGCTGGATCCAGACGTTCCTGATGTCATTGCCAGAATAAGAGGCTTCTCCGATATTAAAACCTTCTGCTCTCCTTTAGCCATGCGCTCCACATACTTTTCATAATGGTCATAATCAGTGACCGGATGGCGCTGTCGAAATGTTTCTGTGTCTGAAATGATACAATAAAAACTGTCATACATTTCATGACAAGATGGTGGCATGTCCCATTTCCATTGCTAGCAACCAACAAGTAAAAAATATTAGATTTTTTTTTGTGTGAATTTTTTCAATGAAAATATACTATTGTCTAATATTCTAACACAAGTAAATAAAATAAACTATATATCTAATATACGTATATGAACTATATACAGAATATCTGTGGCATTCAGTCAGAGCCTTCAAATGCTTGGGGAGAAGGGCGTTAAAACATTAAAGATTCAAAAGCTATGAAACTAGATTTTGCACTTTCAATAAAAACCTTATGCATTTAATAATTTACTAATGCATACATATTTACTGACTTAAATTAATACATGAGTATATCAATTAAATGTTTAAATGTTAAATTTTTCATAAATTTGTAAAGTTATCAAAAAAAATGTTGTTACTTTTGCACCCACACTGTCAAACAAAAAATGTTTGTTTTGTTACTTTTTTGTTATTATGAGGTATTAAGTAGAAATTATGTGTAAAAAGCTTTTGAGCATAAAGCTACAACATAACATATTACATAGCATAACATAACATAACATAACATAAAACACACACACTGTAGCCTGACGCTGGAAGGTCAGCTGAGGGGATGATATTTTGGTGATTTGAGTGCTTAATGTTTATTTTGACTTTATAGTTTATTTTTGGATTTCATGGTTTAAATGTGTATTTCTGTATGGTGAATTTCTTAATTTGGTTGCCGTTTGTATTTTATTATTATTCTATCGTTGAAGTTGAGGTCATGTGATCGTGTGTGCTGATTAATTCAGCTGGACGTGTCAGCGTCAATGTAATGATGTGATGTGAAACTAAGACCGCATGATAGTGCTCCTGACTTAAATCTACTGTTGGTTACCGGTGTTTGTAGTGTTGTTGTGTGTAAAATTATGGTTTGGTTTTCCTTTGTGTCTAGTTTTCACTGTGTCTCTGGAATAAATAAACAAAAATGGACATCAGTACTTCGGAAGCGTGGACTGTTTTGTAACCAGCGAGTAGTTACACACACAAACACACAAAAAAAAAATTCCAAACCACTATTCCTGTACAGGTTTGCAGGATGCTGTAGCAAAAGTATCTTGGACCATAGACAGGGAAATACCCTGGACAGATGGCCAGTCTATCAAGGTTACTACTTTCACAAATTACAGGATGGCTGCACAAAACACAAATGTGATAGAAAATAGAAATAGTGGTAGAAACTGGCCATTAGCCAAATAAATAAAAACCTAACAGAGGCTTTAGCTAAAAGGACATCTAAAAACTGTCACCCTGTTAATGCAGTGGAAGTCGAGGGACTGCAAAAATAGGGCCCTCTCACCCAGACTATCCTTCCCCTAGTCAAGATTAATGTTGACGCTAATAGTTTTGCCCCTAGTTTGTTGAAACATCTGGGTTTCACTCTGAGGAAAAGTAGCATCATGTTCAGCCACATTTAAAGAAAAGGTTCACCCTCTCAACTTTTAAAACAAGTCAGTGACATTTGAGACAGATGGGAGCAGAAATAGCTGTTTTTGGCATTTATCTTGACTCGCTGATCCTGAAATATTTGTAAATGTGTATATCAGATAAAGGTTTAGGGAAATGGCAGCTTGAAGAGGTGCATGCATCAATACCCCATTCAGAGTGTTATACTTGTACAACATCAAAATAGTCAGCAGGGTTATTCTTCAATTTCCCAACCTGGCAAGACAGAGTGAAAGACAGGATAGTCCTGATACTCAGCCAGAAAAAAAATAATTAAAAAAAATACATCCAGATCAATATTTTAGACTGATCAGTTAACTTATACAGTAAGTTTTGTCATAGAAAAAAAAAATCTAAAATAAATTTTACTTAAGAATTAAGTGAAGCTTTTACATTTAAACACAGCAAAAAGTAGTTTATGAAAAAACTCATGACATGTAAGTGATTAATCTTAGATTAAATACTCAATTATTAAAAAAGTGAGTATCAAATCTATAATTGAACACCCCTTTTGATTAATCAAAAAATGATGACATTTTACTATTACTAATACACGAGTTGGAAATCAATCACCTTTAATTGATCCGAAGTCGTATAGTTTGCCGTAGACTGTGTCGGAGTGTTTGCGCAGGCGCTTGAGCAGAGTTTCCTCCTGAACGCGATGAACGTCCTGAGTGTCTTTCTCCAGTTTGTTTCTCTGGCGATTTCCCAGCCAGCACACAGCCTTCACAGCCACATATTGAGTGAGAAGACTCGATATGGACCGATTCTCGATCTTTATCTTCCATAGAAGAGCCATACAGCAAAGACACAGGAGCAAAAATGAGCCTGCAGGAGCTGTTACACAAGAACATAACAGCATTGAGTAACCCTTCCCAAACGGAAGAGGGCGCCACACACATTTAACAACGGATAGCACAGAGTTTATCACTTCATGAATGTAAGTTGTAAACATAAAATGCATACAACTTTAAAATTATGTGTATATAAAACGACAGTTTAGGTGTACTGAAAGACAGCCTGGTCAGTTGAAACTATTCTAAGAAACAAATTCATTTTTGGATTGACAGCTCCTAGTGCTGTGCTGCTGTGCATAGGGGCATTACCACAGTAGTACGTACAATGATGGCAATACTTAGACATAAGCAAAAGGGACCATACCAATTTGAATGTACATATAGCATACTTATTATGTTTCTTTTGACATTGTCTGTTACGGAGAGCTACCAATAATAAACTATATTGTTATCTCAGAAACAAACTCACCACACGTAATGGTCACGGCCAATAAAACGATAAAACATGGTAAAATTATCCACAAACGTTGATATGTCAGAATCATTGTGACGGACCCAGTATTGTTGAAAACTGAAACCAAACACAGACAACTACTTCTTCTTCTGTGTAACGGGAGGATCAAGCGCGCCACCTAATGTTCGTGTTCACTGCTGCCACCAAAGTCCCTGAAAAGGCAAGTGCTCTCACTGCAGAACCAAATGATGTCCAGCGCCCATTCTCTGGACGTCATAGGTTGCTTGACCCAGTCCAGCTCCACCTCTGAGGATCTAACGGGTAGACTCAGAGGGATGTCTCTGGGGTTAGGGTAAGGTTAAACAGACCTTCTAGTTCCCAGTTCCACACATTACACCCAAATTACATCTAGAGAGCTGGACGTCCAGAGAGGGGGAGCTGGACTTCATTCTCCTCCCGTGCAGTGAGCAGGCTCTAGAGTTCAGTTGACGGCCTTTACAGAACCCATGAAGCTAGCTGAACAAACTTGGGGTTACAGGAGATGTTTCAAGTTGACAAAACCAAAACAATAAGGCTTTGTTAGGGCTAGAACGTTTTCTATCATGAGAGTAACTATGGAGCGCAAGCATATGGAACTTATCACTGCTAAAAATTAAGATATGTTTATGAAAACTGAAGGATTTAAATGTATTTACACAGTAAGAAGAATAGAGTCGATGAAAAAAGGACAAATATCAAAAATCAGTAAAATAAATGTATTTAATTCAATTTTGTATAGATATTTATGGGTACACAGTAACTCAAACACATCATTTTAAAGCTTTACTTTATATATTGATTCTAAAGCTTATGTATATTTGTAAATATTTTCAAAATGATGAAAATATTTAAATTTTGAAATCAATTTAATAATAATTTCTCTATAAGAATATGCATGTATATATACACATATACATCACAATAGTTATTTTGGTTATCTTATTCTAACTTTGTTATTAAAAATAAGAACTAAGATAAAAAAAACCACTTGCAATATAAGATACAAACAAAAATTACCATATCTTTTTGGCATGATATGACAGACCACCGCCATTCATAGGCCGTGACATTTTCAGTGAATACGGCAAACATGCCATTTATCAAAGTGTTATTGAATTTGTAACATCTTATACTCACATTAATCACACACTATAAATGGCCTGAAATGGATGGCCAATAAGGGCTGCAGCGTTCCTCAGATAATTAAACTGCTGGATGACACAGATGACTACATCAATGGTCATAGAGAGGCGCTTTCCTTGCATGGACTTGTTTGTTGATGGACTATCTGTTGGAGCCCCACAGAGGAAGCCTTGACGAGAGGAGAGCATCACGTTATGCGGCAAGTCATTCATTATGCCACAGAACATCAGCAAACAACACCTGTCATGACCACCCTGTTGGTTTCTGTCTTCACTCAGGTTTGCGTCTGGCAGGCTGAAATGAGTGGAGATTTGCTTGCTTGGGGATCTGTAAATAATAATAATAATAATAATAATCATCAGTCAAAGTATGGTTATGTTTTTGCATGTAGTGCACAATTACCCTAAAGGCACTAGGGTGGCGGTACCACCGTCTTCTTATATATATATAATATATAATAATAATAAAATATAGCTGCGAGCAGCGATTACGGGCCCAAGCCGGTGGCACCGCAACCCCGGTTCCTTTAGTTGCCTAAAGGCACCGGGGTGGCGGTGCTGCCGGCTTTGGCCCTTCATCGCTGCTCGCAGCTATATTTATTATATATTATATATATATAAGAAGAGGGTGGTACCGCCAGGTGCCTTTAGGGTTGTTACGACCTGTGATTTGGTTTGTTTTATTGCTTTGTTTTTTTGTATTTTCTTTCTTTTCTACCCCTCTTTCTTTCTTGTTGCTTTAATTTCAAACAGGAAACCGGTGAACCAATCCGGGTTGTAAGCCGCCATTGGTTGTCCAGCCGGGGCGTGGACTTTATAAGGACGCTGCTGGAAATGATCGAGGAGCTCATTGTTGGTTCGGCCGCACGCGGGTTGAGAGCTCCGGAATCCCTCCTCCGGCCGATGATCAAATGTTGTTTAAGAGATTCATTAGTCCATCTGAATTCTGTTCTTATGTTTAAAACAACTTAACAAAGTGGAGCGTGTAGGGGTGTCCTGCCTTGTTTATTTGGATCTTGTTTGACCTCTGTTTTTGAGTAGGGAGTTAGGTAAGATCAATGTATTTTCTTTTGATATTGGATTAGGTTATTAATTTCCCCTCTTTTCTTTTACATTCGTTTTGTTTGTTATTTTGGCCTTTTGGACACCCTGAAGATTTGCTCTTTATTTCACTTGTTAATTCCTTAATAAATTCTTTACATTTTTCTTAAGGTTTGTGTTTGAGGTTTTTGATTCTCGACCGGAGTGATACGTCCTGGGATTCCCTTTCCACAACCCAATAATTTATTACGCCTCGTATGATTTATATTCCCCTAGACGCGGGACGTAATAAGGGTAATTGTGCACTACATGCAAAAACGTAACCATACTTTGACTGATGCAAGCTCTTCAGGACACTTCTTTTCGACAGTGTGGGTGCAAAAGTGTGCATCCAGGGCACATTTAAACCACAAAGTATGTGTGAGCAACCTTCTGAAACCTAAAATAAAAAATGAGACACCCTACAGACGTCATGGATTTAACGGACACATGATATCAGTACACAAGACTGAAAATTCATATGAAGTGTGCCATTTGGGATTGGGACAGGGCCCATGAACGTGAACACAGATCAATGTTCCCTCTAATTTTTTTTCTTGATGACCTTTTTTCTACACCTGAGCAAAAAATATTATATATACCTGACCTGTACAGCATATGTTTTCAATATTCAGTTTTAATTTTTAACTTGAATGTGCCATTTATATTTTATTTGACCCTTGATATAACTTATTGGTATTAAATCATATTTGTGAAAAACAAGCAGTTAATTAAGAAGTCACTAAATGAAGCAAATTTTAGATTTTTTTCCAGTGCTGTTAACTGTACAGTCTTTACCAAGAAATACTATGAAATATAATTACAAAAGCTTCTGCAGCACAGTTCAATTCTTTACAATAAAAGAATATAGTAAGAAAGAAAAGTAAACTGTTACACTGAGATGGTTTGGGAAAACCATAAAGTGTTTTTTGTACAGTCATGTGTGCAGGAAGCATTAAACCAAAGTTAAATGATTGTTTATTGCTTATGAATTTCCAATATTTTCTTTTGCAAGGGGTTTCTTTTGCAACTTTTTAATGGCAATGAGCCCTAAACAATACCCTTGTGAGGTTCTTTATTTAGCCTTAAAATATAATAAAATATATGCATATAACCTAAACAATACCTTTTGTTAGATTCTTTATTTAGGCTTATATAATACAAAAGAGGCCTAATATAATATAATATAATATAATATAATATAATATAAAAAAACAAACTGAAGTATTTGAAGTGATATAATATATCAGTTTAAATGCTTCAATTTGTGCACATATTATATTATTATAATATGAAAACAAACTGAAGCATTTAAATAGATCTAATAGCAAAATATTTTTTTTAAGAAAAGTGAATATGCGAACTCTAATGGTAATCTAGCCATGCCTAAAACTCCCCCACACACAAAAACATCGATTTAAACTAATGATGTATTTTGACTTCATGTGGGTGGGTGTGTAATTTTTACTGTAATTTGTCCATCAACCGTTATTTCCACCACTTTAATCAAACCACTCTTCTTTAAACATTATGATGTGATTTTATTTGTTGTCTCAGTCACTATACCCAAGCTGCAGTCTGAAGTGTCCGAGAAGGCCAAGGCCAGAACCAGACCCCGTGGGGGGCGATGGCCCCGAACCAATCTGGCAAAGGGTAGCCATCGGATGCGAGGAAGAAAAAGGTTAACATTACTGGTCATAGATATCTATATAAAGGCTAGATATGTCGTCCACACTGCTGGCCAATGGAGGTCGACGTCTGCACCTGGCGGCCATCTAGTCACAGGCAGCTCGCTCACTCGTAACATTGTGTTAATGGTACAAGTACTATTTAAATAACCATAACTTGCTCAATTTTCTACCGATTTTCAAACGGTTTGTTTTGTTATAAATGTCAGAGATGTAGTTATGACACTGCATACTTATGAATAAGTGTATAAATAAATAATCATCCAGATAATTATAGCCACGTTAATAACGTTTGTAAGAAACCAAACCGTTTCTAAATCCGTCAAGATTTCAACGAGATAAGAGTATTTGTGTTCGTGCTGACCACTCATCTTACATCAGCTTGTCTGTGACAAGATGGCCACCGGTGATGACGATAGAAACTCCGCCGTAACACTTCTAGCCTTTATTTACAAATCTATGTTACTGGTCCTCTGGTGCAACAATTTGTCTGTCTTGCTCGGGGTGAAAGAGGGAGAAATGAATATGACACAAATATATAGGTTATGTAAGTTATGACCTTAAAAGTATTTATTAAGCAATAGGCGGTAAAAGGTTATCGGAACATCGTTGTTTATGAAACATGATGGTACCGTTATCAGGTAAGCTAGGTAACTTAACTAAATTTATATGTGTATATTCATTATTAATCATATGTATGCCTAATATGATGAAAACGGCTTCGTTAAATCCCAGTTGACGTTATTGTTAATCATTGACTGGGTTTTTATAGCCTATATCACTTGCACAGAATTACAGTAGCCTACACAGTAACGGAGCGAGCTCCTTCACATATTGTGAACTCAAAATTCTGGCCAGTTGATAATACCTAAAATATCAAAATCTACAGCTGGCGGTAGATCTGTTTCCTATTTATCACATAAACTCCAGAACAGTCTTCCTGATATTGTCCGGGAAGCAGACACACTCTGTCAATTTAAATCTAGACTTAAAGGGATACTCCACTTTTTTTGGAAATAGGCTCATTTTACAATTCCCCCAGAGTTAAACAGTTGGGTTTTACCGTTTTCGAATGTATTCAGTCGATTTTTTTGATACTTAGAAGAATATCAGTAACCAGACAGTTTCTGGTCTCATTGACTTCCATAGTAGGAAAAAAATACTATGGAAGTCAATGAGACCAGAAACTGTCTGGTTACTGATATTCTTCTAAATACCAGAAAATCGGCTGAATGGATTTGAAAACAGTAAAACTCAACTATTTAACTCTGGGGGAGTGGAAAAATGAGTGGTAAAATTTCCAAAAAAAAAAGTATCCCTTTAAAACACATCTCTTTAACCTGGCATACACAGAAAATTATACATTCCTATTATTCCAATCAGTTAAATGATTATTAGGCTGCATTTGGATCAGCCGGACCCGGACCCATTGTATCATAAGAAGAATGGCATCTACGCTAATGCTAGTCTTCTGTTTATTCCGAAGTTCACTGTAATGAGCCAGATCCGGGCAGGATGCAGATCAGATGGTGGACCTGCTCCTAGACACGACCACAACACAAGATGTTGTCAGCTGGACCCGGGCCGTATCCAGATCAGATAGATGGAGGACCTGCACACGACACGACCACAATGCATCTCTGAAGTGTCAGCAGAGATTGTGCCAACTAGACAGTCCTCTGTAAGGCCTCATCCATAGACATATACACTAGACCTCACCTTGGATACGGCAGTTCATTAGAACGAATGTGTCAATAGAGCCGCCATCTTGAAACAGGGGAGCCCCTCCACTTTAATGCATCAGCGTCAATGTAGTAGACACAGGTCTAACGCAAATAAAATCACCATAAATCATCATGAATGCGATTTTTCTTGTTTTTTTGGTTTGTTCCAACGGTCAGACATGTATTTATCATTGATTCCAGAAAGAAAAAAATTCATCCGTGAACTTCATACGCTGCACAAAAGTCCGCCACCATCAATGAATTCGAAGTAAAGGCAGAGATAGCAGCGTTACCTAGCTATGACAAGACCCCTGTTCCAAGATGGCGGCGGTTTTGACGCATGCTTAGAACCCCCAGGTGAGGTCTAGTGTATGTCTATGGGCCTCATCGACACGACAAGCTGATCATCAACAAATTCGTCGCCATGCCGGCGTGATGACTCTGATCTTCTACCAGATAGAACTAGACTCTATTCTGAATGTTCCAATCAAATATGTAATATGTATACAGTAAGGCGGGACTTGATTGGATCATAGGGTCATGGGCATCACAGGAACTTCCCTTTTCTGGTTGGAATCTTACCTCACAGTAACACTGCTAAGTAAATCCATAATCCTGTCACATAGCTCCAGCACACTTTCCAAAAGAACTGACTTGAGTTAGATTATCAGTATTTACATGGCTCTGTGAAATTTTTGCTCATGACAGTCAAGCAGAGGATTGTGGTGGTTTTGCCACTCTCTTTAAGATAAAAAAAAATTCAACTCAAATCCATTCATTTATATTTTTATTAGTCAGGTAGCCATATAATAAGAGGTTAGCGTATAGCCAGCCAATCATCATCAAAAAAATAAAATAAAATACAATTCCAGGACAACCCCTGCACTTAGTGATGGGGTCCTGATCACCCTATGGGAGTTTATGTTGAGATGAATGGCTGACTGGACATCATCCTCTTACATACACAACATAATGTGATGTTACTTCCAACACAATAAAAGTTAGAAAATGTTCGAAAGAGAAGATTTTAAAGGAAAAAAAGACAAAAAAAAAAGCAAAGCCATCACATTAGGTATACATTACAAACAAGTTACAGTTGCTCTAGACAATTCATTTGCATCGTAACATATATTTTTAGATAATTGTAACTATTTCTCTCTCTATATATATATAGGTTTATTTTTATATAAAATTCTGTCTGCATAGGTACTATAGAGACATCTCTTCTTTCCTGAGATCTATTCTTAGGGGAGCAACTTGAATTGAAATTAATTTTTCATTACTCAATGTGTTTTTTTTTAAATGGATTGGCCCTTTAAAAGACAACATTTCATTAACATGGTAAACCCATTTCACTATAGAGGAACATATGCCAATGGGCTAAGGAAAATAAACTTGATATTTTATGCAACTTTGCCCATCAAGTAAATGGGATTAAGATGTTTTGCTGTGTCGAGTTAATTTTTAGATCAGTATTTCTAAATCTAAATCTCAAAGTGGCAGAAAATATGAAAGCTAACACTAGACTTTGGTATAACTACTGCACAAACCTCAGCTGTTTAAGGCACAGGAAGTGGAAATGAAAATGGCTCAGGTAAAATGAAGAAACTAAAGTAGAGTGGAGTCGGTTTTTAAGAAATGGCCAAAAGATGCTGGATAGATTAGACACTTACAATACAAGCTTTTAAATGATAAGTTAATCACGTACGGGCCCAGCCAGCATAACATCACTGCCTGTTTATCAGAGAACATGCCGTTTATGAGTAACATAAGTAAACTGTTCTAGTCAAATTCAAGGTTATGAGTTAAATATGATAAATCTAGACACTGCGGTCATCTTTCTTTCAGTCCATAAAGGAGAATTACTGCATCACTAGTATCATCAAACTCTCAAGAATTCACCCCATCTTCCATTGGTCAGACAATCAGATAGTCCCAATCCCAAACTCACACCATTGGTTGAGCAAATATTGCTATGAGGGTCTGGTTGCTGAGTGATATTTAGAAAGCATCACAAAGTCAGCGTCGAAGCACTTTTTGGGGACTCGCCTTATAATGGTTGATGTTGTCTCAGCAATTTAAGACAGGACACAAGAGGATATTTAAACTTTACAAAGCCACATATTTAAACCAAGGGCCCAATATCAAATCTCAAAAAGTTATCAAAAGTAAGAGTAAATTTAGCAAAACTTGGTGCAGAAAGACAGGAGATTCTGAAAATTCAAGCCACACTGTGCTAAACGTGTAACATTACAATTACAAAATAACTCCGCAACTGTTTGACAGAGGAAGTGTTAATGTTAACATTACCAAACTATCAGACAAATCATTAGGTGTGGCTCAGGCTCATAAAGACTAACACACTAGCACAAAATCCAAACTTTACGAAACATGGATATTCAGAGTCAAATTTCATCAATTTTCAAAGCTAGGACATGCTGTAACTAAAGTGGGGGAGAAATAACACCACTTCGATATTTACCAAGACAGCCAGGTCTAACTTTTTGGAAAACAATGAAGGGAAGAAACAACACAAAGGTAACACAAAAACAACAAACTACAAAAGTTTCTCGGCCACCATAAAGGGGTGGGTTAAACATTCAGGGTAACAGTTCAAACGTCTATAAAAAATATTTGTTTTGAAAAAAATATTCCCCCAAAAATATTTGGTTTTGTTAGGCCATTAACTCTAGTAAAAAGCTTACACAGCCTCCTCTATGGTGGCTGAGAAACGGCGCTGCGAAATTGGCTGGTTGTGCGATATATGTCTGTGTATTCACCCATATGGGAATTTCAAGGGTTCATAAAAAAAAAGAATAGTACAGTAAAAACGGTATATTTAGATTTCGTTAGGGCATTAGTCCTAGTATGAAGCACTTGTGCTAGTTTTAATGCACGCTCTGTTGTGGCGGAGAAACGGCACTTTGAAATTGGCTGATAGGCAATAGGACGGCTGGGTGTGTATTGTCCATCATGGGAGGTCTAAGTGTCCAAAAAAGAAAAAAAAAGAGATTGGTACAGTAAACACTGTTCAAAAGTTGCTTTTTGTTAGACCGTTATAAAATGTATGTTGTACGAGAGGCTTATTATTACATTTAAATTAGCCAGTCAGTTTAAGTGTCCATTAAAAAAAATTGCTGCAATAAAACCCTAAGAAAAATGATTTTTATAAGATCATTAGACCCTGCTTTGTTGGATTTAACACACCATTTAAAAGTGGAGAAATTCTGACTTGGCCGTTTAACTCCTAACAGTACGTAAACAGGCTAAGTTCACATTCTTGTTTCTCTGAAAAACAATGGTACAGCCAGTTTAAAATGTGCGTTCTGTGTCAGAATGTCTGTTTTTGTTATGGTTTGTGTGATCCGGCCCACTGCCAATTAACCCAGTAGTATTTCGACACCCCAGTTGGCGGAAAACACAGCATATTGCAGCCATATAACTAGCAAAAGCAAAAACTGGGTCAGAGAACACTGATTCTACCTAATCTCTATGACCAGGGGCATATTAAAACTTGGATAAATCAATTCATCAACTTAAAGTCAGGCTCGCCTTCCATGTTGCGTGTCCTCAATCTGGCAACCCACGTGAGCGTTTAGTTTGAGGAGGAGGAGCAGGTAAACAACTATACAATATTATGACTGCAAAACCCATTTCAACCTCTAGCAGTCAATATTACATGCAAGTAGTTAGTTAAAGGATACTCCACTTTTTTTGGAAATAGGCTCATTTTACAACTCCTGCAGAGTTAAATAGTTGAGTTTTACCATTTTCGAATCCATTCAGCCAATTTTCTGATATTTAGAAAAATATCAGTAACCAGACAGTTTCTGGTCTCATTGACTTCCATAGTAGGAATGGAAGTCAATGAGACCAGAAACTGGTTACTGATATTCTTCTAAATATCAGAAAATTGGCTGAATGGATTCGAAAACGGTAAAACTGGACTGTTGAACTCTGGGGGAATTTGTAAAATGAGCCTATTTCCCAAAAAAGTGGAGTGTCCCTTTAAGCACACTAGTGGGCAGGAGCACTTCTCTTATGTTGTCACTTGATTCCCTTCTGTTGTGGCTTGATTCCACTGTGTTGTTAACTTGTTTGCTTTGTACATTTTGTTGTTTTGTGCACCACTGGCCCACCATAGAAAAGACACAACTGCATAGTATTCAAATTGACCCTTTGCTAAGCCCCGCCCTCCCTAGTTACTGTTGCTACGTCTGTCAAGCTTTCACGGCTGGCACATCTATTACAGTGTGTATGCACTGGTGTCAGACATTCCCAATGAGATAATTAGTCATTTTTGGCAAACATGTAAAATATCTGAGAGAGCAAGACTGCAGTATTCCATTCGAGGGATATATCCACGACATAATATGCAACCGATTAGAGAATCATTTCTTAAAAATTGAAGCTAAAGCCTATAGTACCAGCGCAAGCAGCAGCCGGGAAACACACAAACTGAGGAACAGCTTTGTTCGTGCACAGCAGGGTAAGTGAAATGTGAAAATAATACTAATTACAAATCAAACAGTGTTATTCCACAAAATTTATGGGAATACCGGATCGGATTGGGTTAAAGTTACTTAGCCAGGGGTAGTAGGCCGTCGATTAACAAAATGCTGAAATATATTTTAAAGTATGTCAGCGAGCCACCATCTTGTCTTTGATCGTCTTATTTTACGTTAAAATGCATTATTACCAACGAACCGTCAATATTTTTTCAAGCAATAGGTGTTTTTGTGGGTCTCCCACACTGCTTGATCACGCCCATCATGTCTCCCCTTGCCTTTTAGACTTTCGTGAAGGAAAAAAATCCACTTCCCCATCAAAACTTTAAGGATAATGGGTATCAGATTTGCACAATCCATACGTACAATGCTTTGGCATGTTTCCCTCGCTCGAAACCTTGCCAGACCTCTCGGCGCGCCTAGTTACAGTTGTTCAGACACGATTGGCCAGTGGCGGTTTTCGGGCGTGGCTTAGCGAAGGGTCAATTGGAGGTGGACAAATTGAGAAGACTGAATACTCACAGCTAAAAGTATGCTAATTGGAGATTTGATCATGTAGGTTTTTATAACACTATAACATAAAAGGTTATGGGTAATGAAAGTGGAAAACCCACATTGGGCTACCGTAGTTATGCAGCCACTCATATCCAGCCAAATAAAAGTCTACATTGTGAAGTCCACAATGAGCATCACTGTATACGAGATGATATTCTGTTATTTGCTGGTTAATAATGGGAAATTACACAAGGTATATTTAAAATGCAAAGTCAGATAGACATCCAATAATCAGCTTCGACAAACATAACATTTCACATTTGTTAAGATAAAAATATGGAATGCAACCATAAAGTGTTTGTGTAGTTGGGATAAGAGATCACAGGGTTAAAGGTCATGACTGTTGTCCACTCCATTGGGTTTCCATGGGCTGTCGGAGGAACTCCTCCACCTGGCGGGCCATGTCCATGGTCTCATCCAGATCGAATTCACCTTCAGTGTCTAACATGGTTTCATTCCTTGAGACACACAGAACAATCATACAATCAGACAATCATAGCTGCCTGCAGGATAGTATTTTGAGCAGGGGTGGCTGTGAAAACTAAAGGGGGTGGGGGTCCACAAACCAAGAGAAACTGCGTAGAGCTACAAGACTAGAGTGATGCGCGACGGCTGACAGGACGATGGCGGAGGAAAAAAAAAAACGCAAGAGACCTTTAGTTCATAAAAGTTTTCTTTGGTTAAAGGGATAGTTCACCCAAAAATTACAATTCTGTCATCCTTGACTCACCCTCAAGTTGTTCCAAATCTGTATGAATTTCTTCTGATGAAAACAGAAGATATTTTGAAGAATATGGGGAACCAAACAGTTGATGGGACCCATTGACTTACATTGTATGGAGGAGTCAGTCATTGGGGGCCCCATCAACTGGTTACCGGCATTCTTCAAAATATACTATTTTGTGTTCAGCGGAAGAAAGAAACTCACTCAGGTTTGGAACAACTTGAAGGTGAGTTTATAGGATGACAGAAAATCGGCATATCTCTAGTGTACAGCCTAGACGCACAAGCAAAATATTGATAAATAACTAGAATGCGAGATTAGTTGCTGCTGAGGGACAACCAGACTCTTTTTCTGCCCTCTCTTTGTAATGACTAGAAATTCTTGTTAATGTTGGATATAGAATTATGTTACAGGTTGACTTTGTTAAAACAATTTTATTTGTTTATCTTTAACACCCCCACCTAATTTTTTCTTGGGCTCCACGGCAGGGGAGCACCACTGCAGCGCCCTCAGCACCCCTACTTCCTGTGGTACTGCATACAATCATGCAATCGTGTTATTGGAGAGAATGACACTAATAGCATGGGGGAAATAAATATTTTTTTAAATGTTTCTAAGAACTTACATTGAAGGATAGATTGTGAAGTTATGGTGTTGATTGACGGTGGGCGATGCTGCGTGCTCCATGAAGGAATTCCCGGAGGACGGTTCAGGATTGGGTGAAGAAAACCTGAGAAGGAAAAGGAAATACAAGCAGGTCATTTAACCAAAGGTCTGTATTAACATTTGAAGCCTTGCTCAAGTCATTTCTTGTAATAAACTGAGAATTTGTAATGCTTCTGATATATGCATTTAAATACACATTATAATATTGTGTCGAATAAGTGTCCAACTTCTAGTTTCCCATTATTAAATTAAATTATCATAATATACTGATATATATAAATGAGTCCATAACAGGGCTGCTCGACTATGGGACAAATCATGATTATTTTAGTCCATATTAAGATCATGATTATTTAACAGAATTGGGGGGCAAATTACCAAAATCTTATAACACAATATGAGTAAGTGTATTTGACAATAATACATTTTATGATATAATATATTTTTTTGTTGGAAATAAGGCTTCCAACTACACTGGAAGGTTTGAAATTTCATAATTCTACCACAGGAAAACTTATAATAGTCCTACTCATGTAGAATATTGGTGGTAAAAAAAAAGATGGTAACAGTCAGTAACAAAAAAATTGGAAACAATAAGACAAAGAAATACAACAGAACAAAGACGCAAATGTATTAAACAGCACTTTAATTTTTAATAGTATATTAGGTGATGAATAACAAAAGAAATACAACATAAATTGAATACAATAATCAAATATAATAATAAAACACTGCATGAATTTAACTTATGTTGATTAGTGCCAGATTGATATATCGGCAAACCGATATTATCGGCCGATATTAGGCATTTTCTATCGGTCAAACTATCGGTATCGGCAGTTATAATGTCCGATAAATGAATATTTCACAAATAAAATTTAAAAAACGGACGAAAAACGCTTGAACCATGACATGAGTGTTGTATTGTTTGTCCTTCAGAGGGCACTCTACACAGTCCCTGTTGGCAACACTCGTTGAGTTGGTCACGAGACATACGTTACTTGAATAACAATTAAAAGAACATCCCCATCAGTTCTCTAAACTCAAATAAGCATGACGAAATTTGTGACTATCACGTCCAGTTTTGCTGCAGTTAAATAAGCCGAGAGTGAAGCGGAATTAGCTAATAGTTACGTTACGTTGTTACAGTGTAGTTGACTAACTGTCCTTTTAACTTTTGACAATGTGACTGAAGTATTTCTTTAATAGCGTGTGACAGTTCCTTGGCCAGTTATATTGAAAATGTATGTTGTACAATTTGCAGTATGACGTTATCCATTGCTAAATTATGGCTCATCATAGACTAGCCAACCACAAATCTAGCCAATGCCACTATCATCAGTCTGCTCTGTTGTGACAATAAAAGAAACAAGTTTCTTTTTAAAATGCATTATCATATTATTTTAGTTAAAACTCATAAATAACTACAAATAACTAATGTTAGGGAAATCTGTTAATGTTTTGTTGCGCGTTTCAGAAATAATAATTTAAAAAAAATATCTGCTGATATATCGGAATATCGGATTTTAAAAACCAATAAATATTTCTATCGGTATCGGCCTTCAAAATCCTTTATCGGTCGGGCTCTAATGTTGATTCTATAAAAGACTGCTGTCGGATCTAAAGGACAAATCCAATATATTGTATCCAATATGCACATTCGACTTTATCTTCACTGTTTATGTTCACTTTAGAAATAACCAAATGTGTTTACACAAATACACGCCAAGTTGGTCACAAATACATCCCCAAATATTTTGGGGTGTGCAGTATGACTATTTAGGTGCATAACAAGGACCATAAGAAAAGCTGGTTGTCAGTGTGGAAGTACCTAAACATGGACTATATTACATAATCATTACGTTTTTACACGATCAGAATGGGTAGTTTCCCCTATGATTTAGGACTATAGGACTTAGTATATAGGACTTCTTCAGCTGAATTTTAATCACATGCGGACTATTTAAGCACTGAGCATGATGTCTTGTTCTGCCCAAGCAAATGTTACAAAACATTATTTATTTTTGCCGTGGACTGATGAATACCTTTACTGTGTCGTGGTTTCAATCTTTTTATGAAATCACTTCTCAATAATCTCTCATGCCAGAAATATTAGACTTTAGTAAAGGTCCCCTGACATGGGGTTATTTTATTATTTTATAATGTTTCCTGGGTTGCCCTTATAATGCTAGTAGGGTTTTTTTAGATCAAAAATAGTCATAATTTAGAAATAAAAGGCCTAGCCTGATTTTAGCCTCTGATCTGAACGCTCTGTTTGCCTGCCTGCTGTGGGATTCAATGCAACCGCCCACTGCTGTGATAGGCTGACATGCTTGCATATGAAATAGCTATGTACTACATGCGAAACTTTCTTGAAAACTTTTACTACAGCTATTATAGGTTTTTACTATTACAGCTATTGAGATTAACAAATCGTGAGAAGTTTTTAAAGTATTTAGATCTATTCCCATCACATAAAATGTGGCTGTGATGAGCATTAAACAAGCAGAGGACAGTCTGTCGATCGCGAGAATGAGGATCTTATCATTGCAGGTTCAGCTCTCTCGAATGCTTTCACCAATGCAGACACGATGATGTATATACAGTAAGAGCTTCGTTGTGCAGTGTGCGTCATTGATTTCATAACGAGTTGTCCAGATAAACTCGCGCTGTGTGGAAAGATTGTTCTTTGATTGCTTTCTGTATAATTTGTTCAGAATTTAAATAGGATTATTTTCATCCTACTAAAAGAAATGATGTGAAGTTGATATTTTAGTCACTGGCTTGACTTACTGATGCATAAACATTATTGAACGACTTTGAGAGAAAGATTAACGTCCCTGTCTGAACTTGAACAATTAGGCTACACATCAGAAATTGTTGCTTGGTAGCTCGATCGATTTATTTTCAGACATTCAACGAGTTGAGGAAACAGTCGTCGGTGAAATGTTTGGACCATACAAAACTTTGGGAAGTTGTGTCGGCGCATTTCCAGAGAAAATAAAATTAACCCATTGTTTCTTCAGAGGCTCGGATGAAGGAACTAAAAAATACTTTTGTGTTCAATTTGTACATCTGAACACTGAGCAACTGCCATGCTTCGCTCGTTTGCCATGATATCTCTCGAGGAAAAACTAAAATCTCAAAGCTATTTCGCGTGTTCATATTTCATACTAGCCAAATTCTCCGGGCGGGCAAAGCAGAGAAAGGGGAGGTAATCTTTCCTCGTTTTGATGTAATAACGAGAAGATTCAAGATCAGCGCGTCTGAGCTGCAGAGAAGAGAAAAATAGCCAAAGCTCAGTTTACACCGATTGAAAATTCTAGACACGAGGAGACCAACTACAGGCTAGGGGAACTAATATAATGTTAAAAAACGTGAAAATAGTGAAAATTTCATGTCAGGGAACCTATAACAAACATATCCGAGCATCTTCTGCAGGGGATCACTCCAGAAAAAGTGGCCAGCTTCACATATACACTCACCGGCCACTTTATTAGGTACACCTGTCCAACTGCTCGTTAACACTTCATTTCTAAGCAGCCAATCACATGGCGGCAACTCAGTGCATTTAGGCATGTAGACATGGTCAAGACAATCTCCTGCAGTTCAAACCGAGCATCAGTATGGGGAAGAAAGGTGATTTGAGTGACTTTGAACGTGGCATGATTGTTGGTGCCAGAAGGGCTGGTCTGAGTATTTCAGAAACTGCTAATCTACTGGGATTTTCACGCACAACCATCTCTAGGGTTTACAGAGAATGGTCCGAAAAAGAAAAAACATCCAGTGAGCGGCAGTTCTGTGGGCGGAAATGCCTTGTTGATGCCAGAGGTCAGAGGAGAATGGCCAGACTGGTTCGAGCTGATAGAAGGGCAACAGTGACTCAAATAACCACCCGTTACAACCAAGGTGGGCAGAAGAGCATCTCTGAACGCACAGTACGTCGAACTTTGAGGCAGATGGGCTACAGCAGCAGAAGACCACACCAGGTGCCACTCCTTTCAGCTAAGAACAGGAAACTGAGGCTACAATTTGCACAAGCTCATCGAAATTGGACAATAGAAGATTGGAAAAACGTTGCCTGGTCTGATGAGTCTCGATTTCTGCTGCGACAGTCAGATGGTAGGGTCAGAATTTGGCGTCTACAACATGAAAGCATGGATCCATCCTGCCTTGTATCAACGGTTCAGGCTGGTGGTGGTGGTGTCATGGTGTGGGGAATATTTTCTTGGCACTCTTTGGGCCCCTTGGTACCAATTGAGCATCGTTGCAACGCCTCAGCCTACCTGAGTATTGTTGCTGACCATGTCCATCCCTTTATGACCACAATGTACCCAACTTCTGATGGCTACTTTCAGCAGGATAATGCGCCATGTCATAAAGCTGGAATCATCTCAGACTGGTTTCTTGAACATGACAATGAGTTCGCTGTACTCAAATGGCCTCCACAGTCTCCAGATCTCAATCCAATAGAGCATCTTTGGGATGTGGTGGAACGGGAGATTCGCATCATGGATGTGCAGCCGACAAATCTGCGGCAACTGTGTGATGCCATCATGTCAATATGGACCAAACTCCCTGAGGAATGCTTCCAGCACCTTGTTGAATCTATGCCACGAAGAATTGAGGCAGTTCTGAAGGCAAAAGGGGGTCCAACCCGTTACTAGCATGGGGTACCTAATAAAGTGGCCGGTGAGGGTATACGCCTACATCACCTCCAAAAATGGTAATACACCTCTAGATATTTTGAGAAATACTTTTTACCATGTGACATATTCAAATAGCACTCTCTGTTGTATAAGCAAGCATTCTGACCTTTCTTCAAGGTCACACACAGAGGAAATAAATTCTTTTTTAAATGGTTTCAGTAAAAAAGTCATTTTGGTGCAACACAAATCTAGAGCATTTTCTCTGTTCTGTAGATAAGTTGTTTTTAGTTGGGGTGCACTCAGTGCCAGCATTAGAGCACTAACATTTGACGTGAAACTGTTTTGTTCAGGAATAAATATACCCTAATATAGTTTCCTTGTTGCAAAGGCAGCAGATACAGTATTTCATTATAGATCTATTTGTATATATTGGCAAATTTCTCTAATATCTAAAAATGCTGGTGATAATCATGGATTTGATTGTTTTTGACTTTGTCAAATAAAAATTTGAGAGAAGAAAAAAAAAAAATACTCACTCAACCTTCACCACCTGCTTGATCTCTGGTTTGACATATCCATCCCCCACTGCTTTTGCTGGAAAAGCAAGATCACATTCATTAAAGACTTGCTACTGGAAACTCTAACATTCACAAGACCTAAAGTGAGCATTTTTCATCTAAACAGAGCAAACCTTCCCAACATTGCACATTTAAGTCTTCTTACATAAGCACTCCTGATTAGAGCAGTCAAAATATCATTTTTTTCACAACACAAATAGTGTAATAGAATGTAGTAAATTCTTTGTGCTTTATTTGCCTGTGGTTTACGCACATCCACAGCGGGAGTCACATATTCTGTCTAGCATGGTTCAAGTTCACTTGTGCATTTGCATCCTTTTGCAAATGTAAGTTCTAGTTTATGTACTGTATATACCTGAATAATCTCATATAGGACACATTTTAATGAGTTTATTACCCTGTTAATCAAGTCCTACAAGTTTCCTAGTGTTCATTTGCTCTTCAGATTACGAAGCTCAGCTGGCGATGCCCTACATTATTTTAATATGATTGGAATATTTGAAAAAAATGATACATAAGCTAATAATTTATACAAGAAAAGATCGCACCCTTTATCATCTTTAAAACTAATTTATAATAACATTTGTGATAAATTTGTAAAAGGCGGCATGCATACAGTTTGGAGGTGTGCAGTAACGGGAGAAGACTTCCTCTTTGGGCTGGTTGGGATAGAGGAAGAGCAGATGGTTCAGATCACTGATCCGATCGGTCAGAGAGCGGATGGAGAAATCTTTAGTAGTAAAGGGCATCAGGTTCCACACCATCCGTTCTCCTGCACAACGAAACACATACTCAGTACGATTCAACTGGGTTCTGAAGATGAATACTGTCTTTCCTAACCATTTACTGTGGTTCTTACCTGCTTTGTTCGGGTTTTCTGCGACCCATGCTATGGTGATGCCTCCGATTTCAGAGTCGCTAAAGCGCAGGAGGAACGTGCCGTTTGGTTTGGACATCAACATGTCCTGAGCTTGCTGCTTGTTAAGAAAACCCAGAATCGCTCTGCAAATGAAAATACAACATTTTACCAAATGTACTTATTACTGACTGAAGTGTGTTAAATCAGTCCTTACCCATCATTCCAGTGAGACTTCAGGTGTCTTTTCATTAGCTCAATGACTCCATCAAACCACTGCCAGAATGTGAAGCTCCTGCCTGGCAAACTCTCCTGTCAACACAAAAAAAAGCCAAGACTGGATACTGCATTGCATTCATTTCATGTTCTGAGAAAAAACTAGCAATGGCTAAAGTGAGACAACTCATAATGGAAATGATTGCTGAACACTAGCGTTGGGAAGTCCAACTTGCTTATATTGGCAGCTCTGGTGGCCCGCCAGTTTATTCTGTCCCACCACAGTTTAATCTCTCCCACCAGTTTCATAATAAACCAATAATATTTTATACTTCTCACAATAACATAAAAGGTCTCTAACGTTGGGTTTTGCACCATTGGCAAAGCATTGGTCAACCGAAATAAAATCTAAAAGCACGATATGGCTTAGTATCCTTATCAAATCACAAAAGGCTATAATGTAACATAAAATAACAACATAGTCTGTTGTGCTGCGAGTTTCAAAGCGAAGCAGACACTTTGCTCACACGATCAGCTTGTGATCCTGTGTTTTCCGTGTCTCAGAGTCACACTGAATGCAGCTTTAATACTAAAATCCATCTCTGCATGTGCTATGAGTTAAATGTGCATAACTTATTTTTGTACATATGATTAAAGCATTTGCATTGTTTTCACAGAAACTATTTCTAGGGTTTATCTCTTGCAAGTGAAAAAAACTAATTAAAACAATACTTAACAAAATGCATATAATATAATAAAATAATATCATAATACAAAATTATTTAAAATAAAATGTATTTTCTAGTGCAGTTGTATTTACAATACTAACGCATTACTGTCTTAGGAATAATACTATTGTAATTTGCTTCCTAAAATACCAGTGTGAATGTAATGTAAACTGAGACAAGGTATGCTCCCCATACCCCACCAGAGGGACCAAGGTCCATCCCCATAATCTCACGAAATCCTATGGCAAACACGAATGCATCCCATCCCTCTAAAATGCTATTTATTAAAACTAAACTCTGCTTCATAAGTGTGTTGCAACATTATTATGATCATTTGCTCATTTAGAGTCCACCATGACCAAAAGGCTTCATCAGACGATTCAACTGATTCCGTCCGAATCGTTCGGTCTGATTTCCCAAAAATTAAAAAGAATCAATTTAGAGAAAAACATCTTAAGGTGATATGCATGTGCAGGCACTGGTTTGTGTATTAGTGATGGTTACCCTATTGAACTGAGACCAGGTGATGGTCATGTTACAGTAGTCCTCAGGGTTATTGCTGGAGCTGCTGAAGGCTTTCTGAGCGAGGAACACCAGATTGTCTTCTGACAGGCCTCTGTCGCTCTGAACCTCTGATTTATATTTCATGTTCAGAGCCTCGCACAACTGCGGCCACAGCACCTTATCAGGAACTACGAACGGCACTCGACCCTAGGGAGACATAATGAAGAACCTAATTATTACAATATATAGTTATTACAATATATGTATATATATATATATATATTTCTGCATCCCTAAAAGAGACCATTAATGATGTTTCAACTGAGACCACAACATTTCATTCAAATATGCAAAGAATTTGTAAATGACGTGTCCTAACCGGCTCAGAGAAAGCATTATCCCACAATACTGTCGCTGTAGCGTTATTGTCTTGACTCCCATGAACGATGACCACAACAGGCAGGGATATTGTCTGCACAAGAGAGAGAAAAAAAAAGGAACAAATGTATTAATGACACAATGTCGAATAAGACGACAAATAGGAATGACTATGGCAAGATTTCTGTTTTACTTCACCTTTACGTGAAACACAAGTTCATTTCCTCCAACACTGAACTGAGACTCAAACAGAACCGTAAACTTCTCTTCCGTCACTGACTCCGCCCCACGACGATCTGAACGCTTAATGCGTTTTAGAGACTGCAAACAAGAGGAAAAATAGCCATTAAAAAAGGATAATTAAAAATTGAAAAACAAAAGGTTTGATTAAAACATACACTGAATCAAATAACAGGAGGTCAAAAAAATAAATGAATAAAATAATAGTCAGAATTTTTGAAAAATTAAAGCAAGCTCTGCAAAATCATGATTGAGGGATGAACATTCTTCAAAAGTCTGGTGTATCATATTTGATACTCAAATTAACATGATTTTTCTAAAAATTGATGCATGGATAATCAAGTTTAACTAAGTTGCTCATGAAATATTACTAACAACATGTTAACCCCTGTAATACATACATTTAAATAAAAAATACACCTGTATACACCCATTGCATTCCCAGGTCCGTTTGGACCCTGTGGAACGTAAGCTAAGCTCATAAAAAAGTCAGAACTCAAATTCCCCCTGTGGTGATAATCAAACATTTAATGTTGTTTATATTAAAGTACTGTTTTAATATGCTTTAAGACAAACTATGTGCAAATTCATGTCAACACTATTGCGGAATATTTTCTCCTTAATACTGCAGTGAGGCGGGGCGCAATTTGCATATTCATTGAACTGCGTATACTAAACGAGGCAAGGGTGTGGAGTTACATTCAAGGCAAGCCACTTTAAGACATGACTAAACATTTTTCAAGAAAAAAAAAACTTTAAATATGTAATTTTGGTGATCAAAGATGAAAGAAAAGGTTTTGATTATGTTGATAGTTGAGGCCTTTGTTTGTGTATCAAATTTGATACAGTATTTTGTGGTGCGTGCAAACACACTCAATGTGTAACATGAAGCATTTAAGCACAGTTTACCATGGTCCTGAAGTGTGCGCTCAGGGTGCAAGTGGTTTGATGGTACTCCATCACACAGTTGTTGTTCAGAATCTCTCCACTGCTGTCACTTCAGTATAAAGAAAGGACAAACAAGTCATGTACACATGCAGGAACAAAACAGTGTTTCTCAGCAAGCCTTGGTGGAGAGGTCCATAAAACTGTATAATATGGTAGACATCTGTGATTCAGGTGCACATGCTTTATGTGTGGTGTCTAGGGATGTGCCAGGACGGTGAACCGTTTGACTTGTCATCCAACAATTATCTAGTCTAATGGTTTAATATCACGGTGGTGCACAGATGCAAATTCTCAAAAAATTAATTGATGCAGCATTTCAGAAAGCACTTTAGCAGACAGTTCTACACTGTTCATAATAATAAAAAAAAAAAATCAATCATGAGAAGAACAAACTGAACTCAAATATATATGTGTAATAATATATATCAAATATATGTGACTTATCCAGATGCCTGTACCACAAAGCTAGTTAAACAAACTCAGGGTTCCAGGATTGGTTTCGAGTAACACTCTTTCAAAGAAATGGAAGGTGGATTAAGAATGTCGTACAATTCAAGAGAAATGGACGACAGAATATTCCTTCTAGTAAATAAAAAGAAAGTTGTTTTCCAAATGTGCATTCTGCAGTTGTCTTACTATTATCTCCTTGAAATTAAACATTTACACTGTTATTAAGGCTACTTTACACTGTTATTTATTTATTTATTAATTTTTTTGTTCAATGATAGGTACAATCTTGTATCTGTTTTATTTTATATATTGTGTGATAGCTGTGGTAGCCTTTTATGGCTGTTATATGTACATCAAAGAATTATAGTTTGGATGATAAATTAGGTATTAAATTCAATTTTGTTTCCTGTCTTTTGAGTTATCAGATCGCTGCTGGTTTGCCAATTGAGGCGCAGCCTGTCTGCGGTTATTGGTCCCTCAGCAGGCGGTCCTTTTAAAACACCTTCTCCGCTGCACTAAAGGGAGCTGCTGCGACTCTTGGCGAGTTGCACTGTTCCAAGACCAACCCAAAAGGGTTTTATAGTACTTTTGAGTTTTTCTTTGGCTTGTTTGACTTGTGTGGTAGTAACGTGGTAGTAATGTAGGACCTGCCCTTTTGTTTTTGTTTTTTGATAGAGTATATATAAGGTTGATTGTATTTTTTTTTTTTTTCACCAGGGTCTTTCTGATGAAATATACCAATTTACTGATTAAAATTTTTTTTTTAATAATAATTACAGATCATACCACTTTGTTACTTTCTTTTGTTTCAATGAATTCCACCATTTTATTTTTACTTCCTTCAGCTATTTACAAAAATAAAAATCATCTTCTTAGTGTTTTCCCTGGTCCTTTTGGTCTGATGGCTTGATGGAAGCTTTTAGGTATTTTTATTGATTTATTACAATAGTGGCTCTGCCACTTCAGTAATGTTTGTAATACTTTGGACAATGTGGCACCCTACCCCAAATGAGATAAAGCAACAAGCAACATGTTAAGTTTTAGTCAAAGCCAGGTTAAGACCATCATGTAAGTTGCTTGTTATTTAAAAAAAACGTACTTGCGGATGTTCTCATTCTTGAGTAATGCCTTGGCCTGTTGTTCGCTGATGATTGTGGCCTTAACCTGAGGAGGATTCATGTGGACATTGAGTTTTCCACCGACCAGCAAACGAACCGTCGCCGAAAATTTAGTCTGAGTCTTCAGCACTTGAGGAGGCTGTTTCTCAATAATAAATGTGCTGCAGAGAGACCAGAAGAAAAAGACACTGCTCAAAACCTTGCTTCTCTGAGAGAGACCATAGTGTCCAATGACAGCAGCAACTACTTGCGCACCTGGTGACGAGAGTCGATATGACATCTGTGACGGTAGCGTTGAGTTCAGTGAGAAGTTCTTCTGTGGGTCCAGGTATGGGCAGCTGCTGTGTAAGGTGTTCAACTCGACGAATCTGCTGTCTGTTTTGCCAGATCATATCGGCCAACTTCTCACACCTGCATTCACAAAACAAAAACATAAAATACTGTTCAAGAGGAACCTGTATAAAGCAATAGAGCGCATGCACATCTCAAACAAACAACTGAATCTCAGTGAAATTCAGCAGCCTAACAACTGTTAAAGTCCCTGTAAAGTCCAAATTAAGTAAGGGTATGTGTTCTGAGTTTGTCACACCACAGAAAAATGTGTTATTAGCCAGCCAAAATTTGAATGATAAAAAGCAGCCAAGTAAATAAAATAAACTATCAAAATCTTGAAAAAAATTAGAAGTATTCTCTGCTCTCAAATGCTGGGGGCGTGTCCACTGGCTGCGCTCTCAAAAATGGACAACTAAAACCAATAGGACTCAGCGTAAGATTTTGCTATATATATTTTTTTCTTATATTGCAGTATGTAAATATATCTGTGCAGTGCAGTAAAGTTATTGACATGTCATAATGATTAAGAAAAATGCATCAATGAGAGTCAAAAGAGTTATTAAGCACAATAAATCCTAGCGTCTCACCCTTGGTCATTTCTGTATGGTATTTATTTATCTGAACATTATATGAAAAGTATATATTCTTTTAATCCGTATATTTGCATTCTTTAATGAGGTAAAGTAGAAAACATATTAGATCATATACATTTAATTTTTATTTGTCAAAATAACAGAAATCAATTATCTTTTACATGTTTTTAGAATTTGATAAATGACTAAATATCAGACAGCACAAGCGAATTCGACATAACTGGTCTGAGTGTTCATACAGAAATTTCTTATTTCATAGTTTTTATATTTTTGATCCCTCCTCACATTTATGGTTGTGTTTGTTAGGCAAAGTAAGGCAAGTCAGTTATATTTGTAGTTGTAGACAGTAATTCAGTTTTGCTTTAAATTCGTTTAGGCTTGGTGTTTATAATAAAAGTTCACCATTGTTGAAGTTTAATTTATATAATATGACATTCTCGTTCTGTATACCGTTAAATATGATGGACGTTTGTGAAGTGAGGGGAACTAAAATACATGTTTCTAGAGTCATAATGTTAAACATTACATTTATTTCCCAGATATTTTACAGTCTTTATGGATCTAAAACTGAAATTCAACTTAAATACCAACTTGTGACTTGTATTCAGATGCATTTTACCCAGAATCTATTGTAATATAAATTGATTTACACTTTGATAACTAACATTTCAATATGCCAATCGATGGCAAAAAACAAATGGGCTGCTTTTGTGTAAGATGTGGTTTGTATAAGTGTACTTAGGGATGTCGCGGTAACCGCAATATTGTAGTACCGCGCTTCTGACAAGTCAACCGCAGAGGATTGCACGTAACCGCAGCAACCGCGATATTCACGTTTTTTTTTTTTTTATAAGGCTATACCATTCTTGTTTTGAACTTAATGCATGTGTATTGAATGTTAAACAAGTTCCTAATGATAACAAGACTGTTTATCATGGTGATAAACAGGCTTCCTACAGGCTTCACACAGACAGTGAATTAGAGAGATCGGCAGAGCGCGTGCAATTACCTGCGTCTGTCTTTGAAGTCGTGAAAAGCTTGTCGTGTCAAAGGGAAGCGAAATATTTGTCGCATCATCCATTTAACGTTCTCTTCACGGGTATTTTCCCATAAATGCGCGTCAGCAGCAGCGCTGGTCAGCATCCCACAGCACAAGGAAGCCGCGGGGAAATAAAATCAGTGAGTCACGCATTGAATCAATGCTATATTGTTCTCTAATAAGTGAAGCATCAGCTTCAGCGTTGCCCATGCGACGCATTGCTGCTCAGCTGAGCCTTGAAACGTTGAACCTCAAAGTTAAAAATAATTAACATCTTGTTTCATTACATCTCTTTTAATGAATCAGCTTTTTTAAACGTGTTCGTTGAATGAACGGTTCAATGACTCGCTCAAAGTCCGTTGTCATAACAATATGCGCGCTGAGTGAAAGTCTTTCAAATACTCTGTTTAGTTTCGGTTACACTGGTTACTGAAAATGTCCTCGTTTTTGTCCACATCGTAAACTTTATTTATATAGCAACATATGCATATAAATTAAATAAATAAATGGTGGTAATACCGCATATCGCACTATTGAGCCACTCAACATTACCGCAAGGGAAATTCCATAACCGCGACAGCCCTAAGTGTACTTCATATTAATTAGCTCATAAAAAGAAAAACAAGCCTACGGTACACCCTCAGTAAATGTGTGAGTGTGTGTATTTTGTGCATCAGTACCAGGCTTGCAGTATGTCCAGTCCTCCCTCTGATGGTCCTCCGTTTCCTGCGAGCTGCTGTCGTCTCTTCCACTGGATCAGTTCATCATCCACGATCACGGTTTGCTGTTTCCGCAACAGAGCTAGTGTTCTCTGATGCTTCTCCGCCAATTCCTATACACAAACACGCATTAAATTAGTCAACTGCTGGAAGATATAGTTGTGTAGTAAGTAAAAAAAGACATGCGTATCATAGGGTTTGAGTTGAGTGTACCTGTCTGTATTTCTGTAAGGTGTTGGCCTCTCGTGTGAGCCAGGCCTCTAGCGTGGACTTCCTGCTCTGCAGACCCGACTCTCTCCCAACACGATCGGCTGGAGGAAGGCTGGCCAAGCTACTCAACTGTGCTACTCGACACAGATAAAACCTCAATGAATCGGTAAAAAATACAAGCCACAGTTCAATGAGTACTCAAAAGCGTTCCCAGATAGGATATGACATGTCTTTTGTCATTTTGTTCAGATCGACTCACTCAGCTTGAGTTCAATCAAGGGAAATTACGTTGTGGAAAAAGCTGGTGACAGCGTGAACCACACAGGAGTAAAGTGTACACCAAATACATACTGCATGTTAACTTGACTTTAAAAAGGAACAGCATTCTGTTGTTTTCGTGTAAATTAAATATAACGGTCTGACATTAATTGCAATCTTGAATTGATTAATTAGCAAAAGTTATAACTCCATCACCTGCACCGCTGTACCGATGCATTGTACTATGGTAGATAAGCACACAGCGACTGACACTGTCGTATGGAAAAGCACCCCAGAACTCAATGAACTGCAAGTTCCATGTTATTTATTGCATAATCAAGTAACGCTTTATTTTAGTGTCCTCCTTTTAACATTTTACATGTAGTTACTATAGTGATAACTATAAATTATGCATACTGTAATTACATGCAACTAACCCTAAACCTATATTAACTACTTGCAGTTGATTCATATTACTCAGTACTTAAATGTAGAACTACACTGTAACTGTAACCCATACTTATGTTGGATTTTGTTGCTAATTTTATCTCTGTACTTTTACTGAGTCTACAGTCCTGTACTCTACTGTGTAGTTGTAAATTGCTCCATAATTAAACTAGATTTTTTGAGACTTGATAATGAAATGATATGTGCAGAATGAGATGAGACTTATATGCTCATACCCTGTATCCTCAAGCTCTCCTGGTATTGAATGATGAAGTATTCTTGACTGTGCTGCAGCTTGCGGAGGTCGTTGTCTGTGTCCAGGGTCATGACACGCAGCTCCTCAAATGTCTGGTTGATCTGCTGGTATCTCTGAGGGGTCCCGTCCACCGGACCCGAACCCGGACTGCCGGCCTGATCACCACAGTCACACAGAATATCATTCAATTGTCACATTCCAATCATTACATCCTCAGTGTAGATCAACAACCAAAGAAACTGTGTGTGTGTGACTTACATCGGATGCTTCCTGTACAAGTCTTTGCTCAGTGTACAGAATGTGTTTGACACACCGCACAAGCTCCAAAGGGCAAGGGTCATACGAGCTCTACAAAACATAGGATCATCAAAATCCCATCATCGTGTGTATGAACAAATCTTTTGAAATAAAACATGCGATTGACCTCAATTCTCAATTATTAAGATCAGATTGCAAATGAACGCACAAATTTCAGATTTGGACTGACAGTGTGAAGAGTCAAAGAGGCCTTTGAAGCCACTTCAAACTCATTTCGCATAATTTAGAGATAAACTAAATGAAATAATGATTATTTCTAAAGAAGTATGAACTAAACAGGGTGAATACAGCAATCTTTCTCTAAATGTAAATATTTTTACACTACAAGCTCAAATGGATGTTGGGTAACAAAGCCCTTTGATCACAAATAAACTGGAGCAGATGTGATTGAATAACTACATCTTCTATTCAAAATATCTGAGTTACTTTTTCAAATCTGTAATGCAAGTTACTTGTTTTCCCATGTGTTAACTGAGACCCCTTCTGTCCCCATGCTGAGAGAAATTGTGAGTAAGAGGCAGAGGTATTGTGAGCGCTGAGTAAACATGATGGTTATTGTAGTTCTAGACTAAATGGGAGCATAAACAGATTCAGAATTCCTCAAAATGAATGAAAACACAAATGCAAACTCAATTAAATAAAAACTGCAATAATTAAAATAAATTTTAAATAATTCAAAAATTATTATATGTATTTAATCTCAATTTATCAACCAATGTCTTTGCTGCTGATCTTCAATGTTCCAATTCAACCAAACTAATAAGCAAAAATCACTTCAGATAAGCATCACATTCGTTTTTACATTCGTCATTAGATTCTTTCCCTCTCTGTACTTTTTCACAAGGAAAGCAACCATGTTTCATCCTTGTCAGGTTTGCCTCATATACCAGCAAATGGTTCTCATACCTTCAGCTGTGTGGCATAATGGCCCAGTTTGATCTTCAGCAAGAAGCCATCTTCACCCATCTGATGCTCTGCCTTCCTCTGCAGCTCCTGGATCAGACCCTCCAGCAGACGCTTGGCTTTAAACTCGTCCAGCTGGTTCTCCAGGTCGATGGCATCCCTGCACACAACATAAATGTGCTTCAGTCCATGTTATGCCCTGCTACAATAGTACACAGACTTTATAGGCCTTAGTCAGGGTAGTGTCATATTCTGTTTTTACAGGAATGAAAACGATACTGTGAGGGTTAGAACAGTGTGTTCAATGGACTGTACTGTTGTGAGCTAAACTAAATTTCCAAAAAAAAAAAACAACAACAATCTTGAATCAAAAACTCCATGAAATAGTGTGCGTCATTGTAAAGACTAGGGCTGTAACGATACCGTCATGTCACAATACTGAACCCACAATACAATATAACTGCGATACTCCAAGACATATGATAAAAAGTTAATATGCTAAATTTAATATTACAGTGTGGGTTTGGACTGGGTGCTGGTAACCCAATGCACAGGACAATAGTGACACTAGAATAAAAATATTCATGACTCTGAAGCTGAAAATACAGATTTATTTTAGACAAATTTGCTTTCCCTCTGTCACTCACTAGATGTTACCAGTAAAAAGTGGCCTACATTATATTAAATACAAGAAATTTGGCATTATCAGGACCCACAAATATTCCCTCATTGCATTATTTTACATTATATATAGTAGTTTAATTTAGTACTGACACTAAAACTCGAAAACTTGAATTTTTTCCCCTCACACCGTCATTTTTCTTTTGGGTGAACCATCCAGCCACGATACATATTGTTGCAGTTTCATGATATATTGTTACACCCCTAGTTTGTCTATCCCTCACAGCCCGGTTTTCATCTGGGTTAAATTCAATATGACGTCTAACATGGTCTAATAGGCTGCGTTTACACTTGGCTTTAACATGTGATCTCTGTGATCCGATCGGTATCATAAGCTAATCAGGACACGGTGCGTTTACACTTGTCCTCATCAAGTAGCCTCATTAAGTCTCTGGATAACAGATCGGATCTCGCATTCTAGGGGAAAAATAAAGAAAAGAAAAAAAGGAATGGCTCCACCTCAGGTGCAAAGTCAACCTGAAGTGGTGGGTTTTCTTTTAACAGTTTTCAGTCGGGGGGGACATTTTACAAATCTCGCAAAATGAGGATGAAGAGGCTGCAAGTACAAATAATGTGGATAGATGCCGTAACGGAAACGGTACAGATACACATATGTATGTATGTATGTGTACTCGACTATCGCAAAACCACACCGCTACGTTCAGCAATTCATGGCGAGAGGAGAGGGAATAATGACAGTGGGCGGGGTTTGTAACACGATGGCTGGATTGCGTTTACATTACACTGAGATCCAATCACAATGCGTCCCGAACTACCTCTGAACATGGACACGCTGATTGGATAACATTCCAATCAGAAGCGCATTTACACTTATTAATGTGTATGTGGACAACATCCGGATACAGGTCGCATGTCAATGTCAAGTGTAAACGCAGCCTCACACATATAGATCTGAGCATTTAGGGGAGGAGACACTCACCATGGCTGAGCCTCCAGCCACTGTGCCAGGTAGTGGCGAACCTCAATGGGGAAGTGCTGCCCATAGAGAGATTGCATCTGGTGCAGGGCATCCCCCTGCAGCTGCTGCGCCTGAATCCACAGCGCCATCCCTGGCTCTGGACAGAGAGACAGGTGTGCAATTGCAAAGTTAAGAATAGAATGAAAACTGCAGCCCACAATGAAATAAGCCCGACTTGACATTTGACAAATTAACCGAAAGAAACCTCTTGTTCTTGACTGTGAAGGTGAGCCTGGAGAATAAAACTAATGTACTGTATGTGTTCCAAATTTCAGTCGTTTCATTTTGTCATGAAGCAATGAATCATACTGCACTTTTGGCTAAGCGGTCATACCAATCCTGCACTCAGAATCCCTAGCCTATAATTCAATAAATCAATATAATTAATGAAATCATATATTGGGTTTTTGTTGAGGAAACCAGGGTGATGCAACTTCCAGGCTGTCCTATAATACAAATAATGATAATGTGTCATCACCGCAGCACTCTATAAACTCACAATATAGAGGTAAAGTCATCATTCCACAAATGTTTCAAACATGCTACATTGTAGTCACATGACCTCATCATGACATTGTATGTTCAAATCATGATTTAGTAATAATATTAGGAACGCACATGGTTACTTTTTGTGCACTTTTGTGTAAAAAAAAAAAAAATCTGAACTTCTGTCAGTGCCATCAATCAATGTTTAAAAACTATAGCTGATGATGTCATTACAGGCTCAAGAAATGGAAAGTCTAGTAAAATGTGCAAGACATCCATTCAGGTATTCTATGCATACAGATGTGCATTCACAAAATGTGCCCAGTTTTTGTACTATATACTTCAGAGACAATCAAAGTAGCATTTTGTTTAAAGTTATACATTGTAAAAAATAAATCAGAATGGCATTACATGCTGCATGTGCCCTAAAGAGAGCCATAATATTATTGACGAACCAAGAAGAAACCATAATACACGAGTAATCATTTAGTAACGTTACCATAACTTTATCATATAATACCATCACTGCACCATGGTAAATCACATGTACTCTTCCTGAAGACGACACAATTCGTATTGTTCGCATTGCTGTTTTTGAAGCATACTATATTATATTAGCACATTCAATTAGCATTAACACAAACCTGTTGCTTTAATCTCAAGGGCTAAGTTAACTAAAAGACAACAGACAAACTGAAATTAAATATCCCAGAAATCAAGTTTTCAATATGAAACACTACACTACACATTTATTTTCGATTGTGAATTTGAAGGCTCGTGGGTTGTTAAGTTAGCATTAAAAGTTAGCATTGGCAGCTAGCATTAGCTCAACCTTAAGGATCAACCATTCAAAACACAAGTGTTTCAAAATGCCGCGTTAAATTCAGACAGTTTACCTGTGCCGTGAACGACTTAAATTTTGTATTATTAGAGTCCGGAAAGATGGCGAATTATTACCCACGGGAGTAGTTTAACATTTAAGCTAACCATTAAAAGTACTTTAGAAAGTCTCTCAGAGCAGTCACATGAGAACAACTGGAAAAAACAGTGATAAAACATGTGCTTACAGCATTAAAGGAGACCTGCAGCAGAAAGATGTGATGATGACTTGTGGATGTTCAAAGTTTGACAGCGTTCATCCATCCATGAGCTCCACTGCACAAAAATACACTGCTAAAGCAACTCTGAGCTGAGTGGTGCAGGTATGACATCACTTTGTAGGCCAAAAGGCCAAAACGCGGAAAAGAGTAAACATTTTAGCACTTCCTTTTCCATCGTCACGAAGTCACTTGGATTTTTGTTTAATGGCTGAAATAAGGTCTATGGTGAACACAAGCTCAATACACGTTCACGTTTTATTCTACGATATAAAATACACCCCACTCCTAATTTTAAGCTGTTACCTATTGTTTACAGTCTATGGCTGTTACGTGTCTTGAAAAAGGCTGTTGCTAACAATTGTTAACTTAAGTTGCTAAATGGAACTACAGAGGCTGTCGAGGGAATTAAACGTCATCACAATGGTAAAAAACTATTTTAACTCAAACTTTCTGGGAAAATGTTTTGTAATGCGTTGTAGTTGTCTGTTTTAAATTTTAATAATATTGCACAAAATTACTGTTTTCTGTATTTTTTTAATCAAATTTGCAGAAGAGAATTCTTTCAAAAACATAAAAAATCTTACTGACCCCAATCTTTTGAAGAGTGTACAGAAGTGCATTTACCATAAGCTAGTTTGTACAATATATATATATATATATATATATATATATATATATATATATATATATTGTACAAACTAGCTTATGGTAAATGCACTTCTGTACACTCCTCAAAAGATTGGGGTCAGTAAGATTTTTTATGTTTTTGAAAGAATTCTCTTCTGCAAATTTGATTAAAAAAATACAGAAAACAGTAATTTTATTAAAATTTAAAACAGACAACTACAACGCATTACAAAACATTTTCCCAGAAAGTTTGAGTTAAAATAGTTTTTTTTTACCATTGTGATGATGGTATATATATATATATATATATATATATATATATATATATTTTATATATATATATATATATATATATATATATATATATATATTTTATATATATATATATATATATATATATATTTTTTACCATTGTGATGATGATATATATATATATATATATATATATATATATATTGTAGAAACCATGGCACACCAGTCTCCCCTAAAAAGCACTACACTGTAATGTATTGTGGCTCCACATAGCCTACTGCTGGAACACATGCAGCCTACTTTAAAATTTGAATTTGGAGTATCTTTAATGACACTTTTTTTGAGTTTATATTTTGTTAATTTGTTAATTGTAATGTGTTGATGGTTTGTGTTATATCAAATAGTAAATGTGCTATAAATAACACATTTAAATTAGTCTAGTTATTTTATTTTGAAATATAAGTTATATACTGTAATTCATGGCAGATCTGTCATCCAATCTATTGTAAGTCCATGTACTATCTCAAGGGTTTTGGAAAAATATTATAAAGGTTGAAAAAACTACAGAGTGCTACTTTAAATAGCTAGTCGTAATGAATAATGCATTAGTAGCCTCATTAAAAATAGATTACATTCAAAAGACGTCTCCAAATAAATAAGTCAATCAGTCCTCCTACAACTTTGTCAATCCTTTTAAAGTTGTTTAAATAATTGGTAAGTCAATTTAAGGTGTAGCTATCAGGGCAGTTTTTATTGGTCAGATATCATAAGATTCATCTAAATAAACAGTTACTTCCGGATACAATACCTTAACATATACATTAATAGGCATACATAGCACTAAATGAGGAAAATATATTTTAAAAAATCTCTCTAAATATCTTCTTTTGTGTTCCGCAGATGAAATAAAGTCATACAGGTTTGGGACAACATGCTGAACTGAGGATTCGCCTTCCTTCTCCTGGCTTTATAACATGTAATTGTATTCTCAATTGTATTTACCCCATGGCATTGATTCTGTATGTTCATTGAAATGCAAAATAAAAAAAAATAAATTAAAAAAATTAAAAAAGAAATCACGCGCCATACTATCTACCGCCCCCTGGCCTCAGTCACGTGATATGTCTCAGAAGGCGGAGACATCTAGGATCTACTGAACTTCTCAATCGAAGTGGGAAGTCTAGCTTCATATTTGTAAACAGTCAGTGCGACACGAGAGGACTCTATTAGTCTATTCGTTTCTTGTTTCACTAGTGCTTCAAGTGTAAGTACAGCAGATGCTCATGTTGTAATTGCCTGATTGTGCATGTATGCAATTCATTTACTGACAGAACAATACGAGTACTATATTGTCAGTGATCTTTAGCCTAGTTAAGGTTTAAGGAATTGTGACGCCCTTAGTCTAATGTGCACCTATTTATAACATCTCCAGACAGCACCGCGTTTTATCATATAATGTAACTGTTCATGTATTATTTGTATATGCACGTTCCAATTTACAATTATAGTTAAAAAAAATGTTCTTCCAAACCTTAATTTCTTCTCTTCTTTTTTGGCAAGCGGAAGAATCCCTGTATCTCTCACACTTATTTTATTTCTGTTCTTCTTACACTAAACATGTCAGCATCCTTATTTCTTGTGTTTTTCGTGTGATATTTCTGTCATTAATGTTGTTTTTCACGAACATTTCTGGTAGTGATGGGAGCGCTCTGTTTCGAACACCACAGCTTGTGACGACTGCCTGCTAGTCAAAACAGTGCAACAAAAACTCATGTCAAACATACCAAAAATCAGCTTTCAACCTCAAAATCAACTCAAACCCATTGCAAATGTTTTATTGAAAGTATAATTAATCAGATGCAATTAACTCATCATATAGGCTAATAAGTGTCTGTATTTAGGGCTGCTCTCGACTATAAAGGTTTAAGTATGATTCTCTCAGAATATTTGTTTGGTTAAGTATTTCAAACTTTCTATACAGTAGATATAATGTCTGTGAGGCAATTAGCCTAGATGCTGAGTTTCGGTATTTGCGAAGTTCAGGGAGAACAAGACAGAAAAGCGCATCCTTTTCATTATTTTACAAAAGCACATTTATGGAAGTAAAATAATGCCAAATGTTTTTGAAACAAAAAAGCCTATTGAATTGCACTACCTGAAAAAAGGTATTACATTAAAGCTGCAGTCCGCAGTTTTTCCTCAGGACGTATTAAAAAAAAAAAAAAACGTTAGTCGAATATTAGCGGGCAGATCTAATTATATGCCTCCATGTTTATTCTATGGAAGATATTCGCCTTCTGAAATTCTATGTTGGTTCAGCTAAACAGAGATTAAATACTATTATTTCTTTGAATTATACAAATACCCAATTAAAACGTTTACGAATGCTCCTCAGATTAATGAAATCACATGGCTTTTTAGTAAAACACACCCCGGCCCGAACCTCCAACGCGTTCTCATCCCAAAGCGCCATATAGGACGCTTTTGCAAAAGCGTAAATATCCAACGCACATGGCACCCTTTAACGTCTAATGAGACGCTTCGGTTATGGTTAAGTTTAGGTAAGGTGTAGGGTAAGGGTTAGACCACTAGAGGGCGCCTTCTGCCCAAATATATCTGCGTCCCATTTCACGTTAAAGGGTGCCATGTGCGTTGGATATTTACGCTTTTGCAAAATATGGCAGAACGGGCTCGAACCACTGATTCGAAACAAAAGATTCGTTAATGAAGCAGTGTTTTTAGAAAGTGCCCACTAGTCTCTGGAGCTAGATGATGTTATAGACTTCATTGATGGGCAAATGCCACATTTCACAAAGCAAGATACCTTGAATTTAAACCCAACCAGTATTTGCTTTGGATTTGTTTACTAAAAATATATATTTCTTTTAAATCTAAATGGCATTTTCCCCTCTGTATTCCGTGACTTGTTCTTGATTTCTAATGTGGTTGTTTTTTTTTTGTTTTTTTTTTTTTGTGTTGCAAGATTTCGATTACGAGTAGATGTTAAAACTTCATGCTAGATAAGCACATGCAAGATAAGCACAAACTAAGACGTAGCTTTACAGTAACCTATGCTTCTCCATCAATTTACGCTTCTTTCCATATGGTGGTGTGACTCCCCTTCTGTCCGGCGTTAACGGCTGCAGTGTACTTGGCACGTCAGCACGCACAACGGCTGCAACTATAGTGTGGTCTCCCTAGTGGACCAGCAGGACAACCGTCTGGTTTGAGTCGAGTAGGGGACATCTCTAGGGTCTTCAAGTGGGCACCTCGTCGACTTGCCCACGACACCTCAAGATGGCTTGACAGTGACTCTGGCGTCCCAGAGTCACCCCCCTCCGTCCCCCACTTAACTCAGCCCAGCTTACTGACCTTTACATCCAACCCGCTGCTGAGACCTAACCACTAAGGCTAAGGCTGTTGAGCCCCACTGTCTTTGTTAAAGTAGGTTCAGTGGCAACGGTTCCGTATGGCATACTTCCAACTGCAAAACACAATATCTGCTCATTCACGCAATATACACAGGGACATAACAACTGTAATTACCATGCAAACCTTTAGAAATAAATCAACACTCTTTGAGTTTTTCAAGAATTCTACAAAACTACATTTTTTTCTATAAGTAACGTTTTTGTCCACTGGATAAAAGACAGAGTAGCATCTTTTGGGTTTCACTGAAGAAAGAAATCAGTTGGGTAAATGTAGGCAGATTTTTTTATTTTGGGGTTAACTATCCCTTTGAGTAGGTTTACTAAATTTTAAGATCCAGCCACTGTGTCACTTTTAAATGTTGTCTTCATTGCAGTCTGTGTCCCAGCATGGCTGAAACTAAAGGGAAGTTTGATTTTGCGATTGATCGGGGAGGAACCTTTACAGATGTGTTCGCCCGTTTGCCCGATGGTAGAGAGAGAGTCCTAAAACTGCTGTCACACGACCCCCAGAACTACAAAGACGCCCCGACTGAAGGGATTCGGCGAGTGCTGCAAGAGGTGAGGAGAAAACCTTAACCTTTTTGAACGTAAATGCATATTAAGAAGAGTTTTTGGAGTTTATTTGGTTATAGATCTGGGAAGGATAGTTTAGAATCTAGAGAACAGAAGTGAAGTGTTGCATAAAGTCTACTTTGTCTGTTGGGTTTGTGAACTGAACAGGAAACTGGGCAGAGCTTTGCTCGAGATCAGCCCTTGGACACTTCTCAGATTGGCTGGATTCGGATGGGCACCACAGTGGCGACTAATGCCTTACTAGAGCGACAGGGTGAGAGAACAGCACTACTGGTGACGCGTGGTTTTCGGGACCTTCTACATATCGGCACGCAAGCGCGACCTGACCTGTTTGATCTAGTGAGTAAAAGTGATGATGTAAATTTATCCCAGAAACTTGGTGTTGACTAGATAGGGGTCTATATCAGAGCTGAAATCATTCACTCAACAGATTCATTCAAACTCACAACAGGTCTTTACATCATAATACTTTATTACAATGGGCATGTATGTACACAAGATGCTCGAGAAATGCTTTTCAAGCATGACAGTTCGGTTACTCTGCCTTACACTACTAGAGCCAGACCGATATATCGGCAAGCCGATATTATCGGACGATATTAGGCATTTTCCAAACTATCGGTATCGACAGTTATAATGGCCGATAAATTAATATTTCAAAAATAAAATAAAAACGGACGAAACACGCTTCAACCATGCCATGTTGGAGTGTTGGAGTTGTATAGTTTGTCCACCAGAGGGCACCCTACACCGTCCCTGTTGGCAACACTCGATTACAACGCGCAACACATTCTAGCTAACCATAAAGCTACCTAATACCACTATCATCAGTGGAATTTAATGAACTTTGTTAATTAATTAATGAGCTTTGGTTCCTCCTCTGTTCTGTTGCGACAATAAAAGAAACAAGTTTCTTTATAAAATGCATTATCAAATTATTTTAATTAAAACTCATACATAACTACAAATAACTAATGTTAGGGAAATCTGTTAATGTTTTGTTGTGCGTTCCTGAAAAAAATGAAATAAAAAAATATCGGCCGATATAGCGGATTTTAAAACCAACAAATATTTGGATTGGTATCGGCCTTCAAAATCCTTTATCGGTCGGGCTCTATACGCTACTATTTAAAAGTTTTTATTCCTCTGATGGCAAAGCTGAATTATCAGCAGTTATTACCCAAGTCTCCAGTGTCACATGATCCTTCAGAAATCATTCTAATATGCTGATTTGATGCTCAAGAAACATTTCTTATTATAATCAATGCTGAAAACAGTTGTAACATGTATGTTCAGTTTTGGTTGCGTTTATCTGTTCTGTTCCCGTTTTACCTGCCTGAGTTCCTAGTTGGTTGTTAATTAGTCCCTCATTCCTGTTACTGTTCAGTTTGATTACTTTCCCCATGTATTTAAGCCCTGAGTTTATTTCTGTTTCTTTATATAGCATCGTCTTAGGCTGACCACACACTTGTGTGGAAGAATTTTTGAGCCCAATGTTCAACCCCCAATGATGTGGTGGATTTGGCCTGATTCATGGCTTCTCGCAACTGACTTGTTTTCCAAAAAATCCTTAATTGTGTGGTGTCATTACGATTATTTAACTGCCGATTTTGTCTGAGCCCGCACGATCCCAAATCGTAAGCCTCTGAAGTGATACCCGCGCTTGCCAATGAGAGCTAGCAAGCTTCACCAACTGGACTACATACATATATGTCTGTGCCATTAAAGTGCCTCGTTGTGTCTCGTTATTCGGGTACATCATCCTTCAAACTGTCTGTCTCACAAAACTTTTTTTTTTAATCAAAAAAGAGTATTTTTTTTTAAAAAAAAGTATATTTTAAAAAGTTTTGAGTCAATTGTTACAACTGCTTGTTTTCTATAGTAGAGTAAAATTCTTAAAGGAGTAGTTCACTTATAAAAAACATTTGCTGATAATTTACCCACCCCCATGTCATCCAAAATGTCCAAGTCTTTCTTTCTTCAGTTGAAAAGAAATTAAAGTTTTTGATGAAAACATTCCAGGATTTTCTCCATATAATAGACTTCATTGGAAACCAAACAGTTCAGGGTCCAAATGAGAGTTTCAGTGCAGCTTTAAAGGGCTTTAAACGACACCAGACGATGAATAAGGGTTTTATCAAGGAGTTCATTTGTTCAACAAAGATTTGTTCATTTTGATGAACGAGTTCGAACAGGAGAGTCACGAACGCTCATCACAGAACAGAGCAAGACGAACATTTGTGCTCATAAAACTTAAACTTTTGTATTTATTTTTGAAATGAGCGATCGTTTTGCTAGATAAAACCCTTATTCATCGCCTGGTCTCGTTTAAAGCCGTTTGAAGCTGCACTGAAACTCTCATTTGGACCTTGAACCGTTTGGTTCCCAATGAAGTTCATTATATGGAGAAAATCCTGGAATGTTTTCATCAAAAACCTTAATTTCTTTCCGACTGAAGAAAGAAAGACATAGACATCTTGGATGACATGGGGGTGAGTAAATTATCAGCAAAAGGTTTTTTTTAAAGTGAACTGCTCCTTTAAATTGGAATAATGTTTGTGTATTCTGAATTGTAAAATTAGAGTATCATATTTTTATAAAAGCTCTTGGATTGGAACGATGAAACCACACTGATTTATAGTCAGGCAAGGGTCAACTATATAATGAAGTTAAATATTAATAGAAAGAACTCTGTTCTCAGGACAAAAGGGCATTTCTCATAAATGACTGCGAGTCTGCAAAAATCCTATCTGCCACAATTCCAGTTTCCATTTGGGATACACAGTATATTGGGACCATACCAGTTTTTGGTCAACACTGATGTTGTAATGATGTTGCAGGTTCTCCGGTTTCCCCCACCTCTTATACAAAAACAGAGAAAATCAAAGTACACCCTGGAAATGCAGCTGTATGAAACCCCAGAAGAGAATGAATGATAATATCAAATTAGTTTAGTCTTTTAACAGTGTTTCATCTCACCACTGAAAAACTGTTCACAGCCAACAATGCTTTGATGAAATTCCAAGATAATCAAGATCATTTTGTTGTTGTAGGGGCTGCAGAGAGTTTCAAAGTGTGTGTTGTTGTTTTAGGAGGTGTGTATGCCGGATGTGCTGTACGAGGAGGTGATTGAAGTGGAAGAGAGGGTTATTCTCAGACAAGATTCCTGTCAGCTTCCCAGAAACGAGCCCAAACGAATAGTAACAGGTGAACAACATGTCAACATCTACTATATACCTCGTTTTAACAGGTCATATCCTGAAGGATTAAAGTTTTCTTGGTATTTTGTAATAAAGGACTTTATACTGTATATAAGGGCTATTTTACATCAAATTAATTCTATCACAAATGATGTATTGTTAGTTTTAGAGTCAAAACATTCTGCTCCGTGCTGAAGGGCAATCATTGAAACTGAGCTGCAAAAACTATTTGGTCTGAAATGGACACTACTTGTCACAAATCTATGATGCCCATTCAGAACCGCTGTCAAGGTTATTACAGAGGTAAATTACCTCTAGACACAGAAAAGCAATGTATAATTCATATGGTCAGAGAGACAGTGTAAAAATGGCCATTAAAGCTATTTGGAGTGTAATTAACCATGGATAACATTGTATGTTTATGTCATATGAAACTAGTTTTGTTGGTTTATACAATCTCAGAAAAGTATCACTAATGTCAACTGCATGAAATCCAAGCATGGAGTCTCTGTTTCTCTCAGGCAGTACTGGAGAAAGTCTTGAGGTGTGGCATGAGTTGGATCTTCAACGTGTTGAGCAGGATTTGAGACGTGTGCAATCCAAAGGCATCAGAAGTCTGGCGGTGCTGCTGCTGCATTCTTACACGTTTGTATTTATTATATGGCTCTCTGGAATAGGTTTTGTTCTATTTGGTCATTTGCAGCATTCTGTGATCTGATATTTCTTAAAGGTACAATATGCAAGATTGTTTCACCACCAGGGGGCGCTAACCTCTTACAATAACAAAGGCGTATATTGATGACGTATATTTTGCATTAAGCGGAATTCTGGATCTTGTCGTCAAGCTGATGGATCTTTTATGGATGAGTGAATACAGTGACGTTTTTAACATGACTGAGGTGTGAAGCAGGGTGCGATTGCAACACTCACTCTGTCAAGTCGAAGTTAGTCGCGGACATGGAGCGAAAGATGTTGATCTTCGTTTTAGTTCTCTTTTTATCTCAAAGTCTTCTTGCACGCATAACAGGCATAACGGGCATAACCGACCCAGTTGTCCACGTCTGTTGCCATGGTTACTATTGCAGTACGAGGTCAAACCTGGCGGAAACCGGGGGTAACGCGGATATGACGTCATTGACTGGGGGTTCCTCACCCCTGCTCACACGCCCCATTTACTTTGCTTAAAAATTGCAATTTTTTCACGATAGTTGGAAAACATTTGGGATAATGTAAGTAATCAACTTAAGAAAATATATGACATTGGCCTAGTGGTTTGTGGATATTTCACTGCAAAAATCCTGCATATTGTACCTTTAATAATGACTGTAATCCATAGCAGTGCTGTATATCAGAACCGCTCACCTGATTATCAGAAAACGGCACTACTGTCTTGTTTCATACAAATGGAATTGGAGCCATTATGCATTTCATTTATCTATTATATTGCAAATTAAAATGGAGAACTTTAGTGTTAAAGGGATAATAAATTAAGAAATCGATTTTTTTTTTCTTTCTATTGGGTGAGTGCGGCCGCCCCAGGGCCCTTGCCAATTAGGGGCCCCTCAAATGCCGCCGATCTTGCATCACTGGACAGGAACAAGGCCCATGCAAAGTACAGTTGGTACTCGACCAGAATTATACTTTTACCACCGTTGTTCCTGCGGTAAATTGCGAGTGTGTATTTGCTGCCTTTTACCACTAAGAGACACTAAAATCAAAGACTTGGAAAGTGTCAGTTTATTCTCACTACTATAAACCATTTTGCAAGATGTAAACAACAGTGGTCCAGAAGCACTTCCTGTTTCAGTTTTTTAACACTACATAAAAGCTGGGATAAAATACAACCAACAGAACATATAAAACTGAATCAAAAAGTTTTCTTTACATGTGAAATAAAGAAAACAGTTACAAACTGAAACAGGAAGTGTTTCTGGACCAGTGTTGTTTACATCTTGCAAAATGGTCTATAATCTCAGGTAGTGTAATAAAACATGTATTACACTACCTGAGATTATACTGAGGAGTGGGACAGTGAAAGTGGTCAAACATTTAAAAAAAATCAAGTTTTTCCTGCAAACAGACCTGTTGGTCTACTAGTCTAACTAGTATGCTGATTAACCCCCCCCCCCCTTTTTTTTTTTGAACAGACATGGAGATGCTCATTTCAAACTTAAATGGTTGTAATTCAAGAATGGAATATAGACATAAGATTGGTCTCGTTTTAAAGAAGACATTTGGCCGATTTTTCTCGAAGTGAAATAAATTAGGAAAGTGAAACAGAAAAAAAGTTATAGAAGTCTGAGTTTATAGAAATGTACAATGTAAAAAAATTAATTATTCATATTTTATATAAAATATATATTTTCAAAACCTGGGCTACTCTAAAACTGCAGAAAAATCAAAGCCAAAAATCTGAACAAGTTGTGTTTCAAATTTTAGGTTGATATCTCAAAAAATGAGCTTTCAGTGAGATTTAGTTCGGGCGCAGTACCAAACTTTTTCACTAGGGTACAACCAGACTCCATTACTGCCCATATAAGCTTCTATACTGCTTCATTTCCATATGTGTTTTGAGTGATCTTAACCGTTTTTTTTAACAAATTTCACACAATTTATGAAGTAGAAATCCTATTCAGAGGTAGTATGGTTAGTTTGGCAGATTTTGATATGAATTCAACCTCTAGGAATCACATACAAAGCACACGCATGTGCGTTATAGCTTATTGCCATAACACAAATGGTAAATCTATTTTTTTTTCGTAATATTTAAAACATTTTCAGACCTTTTTTTCTAAAATAATTGAATGGATTTTATCTTTTGAACTCTTGGCATGAAATCAAAGTGAGGTTTCTAACTTTTTTTCATGATTTTTCATGTTCATTGCTATTTCAAAATAAAGGTCTAAACACGCTTTATGAGTATGAAAATATTCTTGTTGCAAATTGATAAATTACGGCTCGTGTGTAAATTATTTTGAAAATCAGTGACTAAATATGGAAACTAGAGATTGTAAGCTTTCAAATGATATATAGTTTGTCAATATTACTTAAGGTCTTTTCTAAGATATTATTGTTTTAAAAATATAATGGCAAAAATATAATGGCAAGTGTCCCACCTGTGGGACGGTGACAGTTAACTGGTTAATCTGCAAGACCAACTAAACACAGGTCAACATAAACATTGCAGGGTGCAGGATCTTGCAATGCAGTGTTATAAGAGGATACCTGAGTGCCAAAAGGTGGACAACAGAGAGTTATTTGATTATTATCCGTGTAAGAATGGCTCACATATACTCATGACTTGGTATAAAGAGGGAGTGAAAGTGGTCTGTACACGGAGCCCTGTGGAACTCCAGTTGGTGCTCCTTTAGTTGGAGTGGTTGGTGTGGAGATGAAATTTCCTAATGCCCAATGTGCCATTATATAAAACACTGAAATAATTCAAACACACTGATAAATGTGATTATATTGATTGAAATCTTATTTTTCATTCCTCATTGTGTGTTTCAGATGGGCGGCTCATGAGAAGGCTGTGGGGTCTTTGGCGAAGCGTCTTGGTTTCACTCAGGTGTCTCTTTCCAGTGAGGTTATGCCTATGGTGCGAGCAGTGCCTCGTGGGTACACTGTTTGTGCTGACGCCTACCTCACACCAAAAATACACCTTTACCTCACTGAATTCACTGCAGGCTTTAAAGGAGGCTTGAAGGTATGTGCGTGTGGTGCAATAAGCAATTTCTGTGAAACATTGTTGAATACTGTTGATATTTGAAATCAACCCAAACAAACACACCCCTATTTTCATTGTATTGCTCCATCCCCAAAATGCACAAACACACAATGTAAGAGTGAATGACGATTGAACAAAGAACAAAGAATTAACATGCTATACTGTACACAGGATTATATACAAGCTAGAGTCGCCAGCAGCACACCAGCTCCAGACAAACAATAAAACTCAAAACTAGTATAGCTAACATTACTACAACAGTGTATCTTGCTTCTGTGAAACATAGCAAAACTGATGTAACTCACGTATGGAGCAAAAACAAAACAAAACAAACCTCAGCATCCATTTTTAGGCCTTCCTGCTTGGGTCTCTCCAACACTGGAAAGCTTTTCTAATGTTCATGTGGGTCCTAAAGCTCTTGCCTGATCATAAACCTTTTTTATATTCCTCTCACCTTTTCTCTTTTGTAATGTCTCTCAGCCATCTCTCCTTCTTGCTTACTTTCTACCTCCCCTATCATGAGTGTATACGCCCCTTACTGCTGATTGGCTACAATTGTGTTGGGGTTGCTTGATCCAAACCACTTTCAACAGTGTTTCTCACAAATCGCTTCCTGCTCCTTTTATTTAATAGTCAAGTCAAGTCATCCTTATTTATATAACGCGTTTAACAATGTAGATTATTTCAAAGTAGCTTCACAGAGATAATACTTAATATAATTTAAGGTAACAGAGATTGGTTTGGTTTTATAGCGGTTCTTGAATAATGTTATTTTCCAGCTAAAGTTAGTTTTGATCGATTCACTTCCGTTGAAATGATCATTTGTTATTGAATTCGGGGCCGCTAAGATGACGCCGTTCTCTCTAAACAGACTTTAAATGTGAACCTGTGATAAACGTTGATGGCGTTCACATACGCATTAAGAATTGATTCTATAGTTATGTGCATTTGAATATATGTGCACAGGTTTGTAATTCCCTACAAACCATGCCTAAACAAACTACTTGTCTTGCCTATCAATGTTGGTACAGAATTTTATTTTATTTAATCACTTCGGGTTGGTACGTGAACCCTAATTTCCACAACGCTTTATCTTTATAGTGGAATAGGGATCCTCCATAAATACCTCATCTCTCTCTCTCTCTCAGGGTGTGGATGTGTTGTTCATGCAGTCAGATGGTGGGCTGACACCTATGGAGCAGTTTTGTGGCTCTCGGGCAGTTCTCTCTGGTCCTGCTGGAGGAGTTGTGGGCTATGCTGTCACATGTTATGGGTTTACGGAAAAGAAGCCTGTCATTGGTTTTGACATGGGAGGTAAGAGATCATCATTTACTCATGTTGTTTAAAACTCTAATGATTGAAATGTCAAATGTAGGGATGACACAGTACCAAAATTCCAGTAGGCGGTACCGATACCATTAAAATGTTATGGTTCTCTCGGTACCAATTTCGGTACCAGAGCAAAATCTGTTTGAACTATTTTTCCAATTTTTTTAACTATTTGAAAAAAAAAATTTCAATTCAATGACTTTATTATTTATGATGGTAAATTTATGAAAGCATTGAAGGCTACATGCTGTTTAAACGAAAATATTGATGATATTGAGAAATATTGCTTATTAAAAAAAAACAGTGAAAAATAAGCAGCCTTCTATGCACTCATTATTATTATTAGAAGTACCATTTTTGGTAACACTTTATAATAACTGCACGCTATTAATCATTTGTTAAGCATGAATAAACAGTTAATTCATCATTTATAAAGCATTAAAGGGATACTCCACTTTTTTTTTTTTTTGGAAATAGGCTCATTTTACCACTCCCCCAGAGTTAAACAGTTGAGTTTTACCATTTTCAAATCCATTCAGCCGATTTTCTGATATTTTGAAGAATATCAGTAACCAGATAGTTTCTGGTCTCATTGACTTCCATAGTAGGAAAAAAATATACTATGGAAGTCAATGAGACCAGAAACTGTCTGGTTACTGATATTCTTCTAAATATCAAAAAATTGGCTGAATACATTAGAAAACGGTAAAACTCAACTGTTTAACTCTGGGGGAGTGGTAAAATGAGCCTATTTCCAAAAAAAGTGGAGTATCCCTTTAACAGACATTAAAGCAGTTTATAAATACAGCTATAAATGCTTTTTTTCTTGATTTATAAGCATATCTATAATGCATTTAATAATTGTACTTTTATGCTTTGTTAATGATCAATTAATAATTTCTAAATGAAGTATAGCATTATTTACAAACCAGTTATTTAAGAGTTGTCAGTCATTCATAAGATCACTTAGAAAGTGTAAGTAAATGTAGTAAATACAGGTTGTTATAAAGCATTTAGTAGTGGTCAGTTAACTATTTTGTGAGCTCATCTAAAGTGAGGACTATTCATTCCTTGTAAAGTATTTATAAAGGAGATTTAAAGGCTCGTCAATCTTCTAAACAGTAAAATGTAACAAACACAACACAGTGATACAGAACATAGAAGTATTTAACAGCCTTTAAATCTCCTTTATAAATGCTTTACAAGGCATGAATAGTCCTCACTTTAGATGAGCTCACAAACATAGTTAACTGACCACTATTAAATGCTTCATAACCCAAATTAACCCTGAATTACAGCATTAATACATGTTAATAAAGCATTTATTAACACACTCGGTAACCATCACTATATGTCTGAATAATAAGACGTATAAATGTACATTTAAATAGTTTATTAATCATTTACTTACTCGCTCTAAGTCAGAGGTCTCAAACTCGCGGCCTGCGGGATGATATTTTGTGGCCCCCTACTTGATATTAAAGTTTAATGTTAGTGCGGCCCGCCGTTGCGTTTGCCGCGGTTTTTTTTTTATTATTATTTTTATCCCTTATGGGCTACCATATATAGTCTCGTGACAGCTTACGGTGGGTTTGTTGTCAATAGTTGTCATAGACAACCACGAAGTACAAATATACTGCGCCTGGAAAAAATGAGCGCGTCGGCGCTTAAAGGGTTAGTTCACCCAAAAATGAAAATTAAGTCATTAATTACTCACCCCCATGCTGTTCCAACCCCGTAAGACCTTCGTTCATCTTCGGAACACAAATAAAGATATTTTTGATTGATTCTGAGAGCTAGATCAGTCCTAGATAGGCTTCCTAAGGGACTGGCTCTTGACGGCCCATAAAGTCATTAAAGAAAAGGTTTAAATATTCCATGTGCCTACAGCGGCTCAATTATAAGTTTATCAAGCGACGAGAATACTTTTTGTGCGAAAAAAACATAAATAACGACTTTATTCGACTATTCCATTACTTCCTTATGGGAGCATGCGCGAGAACTGAGACGAGGACGTTCTCATTCGTCTACTTCTTGTTACCGGCTGCTCACCGCTTAGGAGTTTTACCGCCCCCTACCGTATAAGATGATGTGCTGATATAGCTGGAAGCGCAAAACTTTCTGTTTACAAGCAGAGGAAGATGCGCGCTGTACATCCGCTTTTCAATTAGCGTATTTTCCGCACTATAAGGTGCACTTAAAAGCCTTTAATCTTCTCAAAAAACGACAGTGTTCCTTATAATCCGGAGCGCCTTGTATATGGATCATCATTTTATACGGTAGGTGGAGGTAAAACTCCTAAGCGGTGAGCAGCCGGTAACAAGAAGTAGACGAATGAGAACGTCCTCGTCTCAGTTCTCGCGCATGCGCCCATAAGGAAGTAATGGAATAGTGGAATAAAGTCGTTATTTATGTTTTTTTCGCACAAAAAGTATTCTCGTCGCTTGATAAACTTATAATTGAGCCGCTGTAGGCACATGGAATATTTAAACCTTTTCTTTAATGACTTTATGGGCCGTCAAGAGCCAGTCCCTTAGGAAGCCTATCTAGGACTGATCTAGCTCTCAGAATCAATCAAAAATATCTTTATTTGTGTTCCGAAGATGAACGAAGGTCTTACGGGGTTGGTACAGCATGGGGGTGAGTAATTAATGACTTAATTTTCATTTTTGGGTGAACTAACCCTTTAATGCGCGCCTTTAAAACGTACTTGAGCATGCAAAATATGTGAGCGCGATATGTGAACAAGCCCAAGGCCGAGCTACCACCACCAAATCAGGACACAGCTACTGTTAGCTCGCGAGCGATGTGTTGGATACCCCTGCTCTAATAAAACAATGTGAGAATAATCATTTTGAGCTTGTAATATGTGTTGTGTCTGAACGCGTTCAATGAACGATAGTTAATGAACTCGTTCATATCGTGAACTGAACGTAGCTAACTTTAGTTACTGCCTGTTGAACGTTATAGTAAACTCGTTCATTCTAGTGTCTGTGAACCGAGGAGCGAGGAGGCGTTGTAAGATCATTTAAAAGGGTTTTATGAGGTCGATGAGGATGGGAAAATCTTACATGTCTGTGCAAACTTTGCCCGTCGATAAAATGATTGTTATCTGTGGTTGTATATGGGCTGTGGCAATAATAGCCTAATAGCCTAATAAAAAAAGAAGAAGCTCGCAGCAACATATGGAAAAAAAGACTATGAACTAGTTCATTTTTGAAATATGAACTGACCTAGTTCATTTTAAAATTTGTGAACTGAACTTTGAACTAGTTCATATAATGAACTTGGTCCAACAGGTTGATTAGAAGGTTTGCTTTGATATATGCAAAGTCAGTAATTTGCCTGAGACACTATACACGTGTAGAAAGAATTATTTGTATTTCAAAAGCAGTAATTGTTTTTCTAAGTATAATAAAAGGAAATGTGCCTTTCGGAAAAACAAAAAACAAAAAAACATTCAATATAATAGTGTTGTATAAAGAAAATAAAAAGCAAATATGACTATCATCACAAAGATGTTGTGTATAAGAAAAAGACAAAGAAAGTTTGTAAAATTAACTTCAACTGTCAGAAGGACAGATCATGAAGAACCAATCATGAAAGGAATGTTCAAATTCAGAGGAACAGTTCAGAATAAACGTTAATAATAAAGATTGGATCAGTTGTGCTCCATTTTTGGAATACTTAAATACAATTTTTTTTTTTTTTTTTGGAATACTTGATGCGGATCTCCAGCACCCCCAGTTAATCTGAGTTTGAGACCCCTGCTCTAAGTAATCGTATGAACCACTGAAAACTCTTAAATAACTGGTTTATAAAAAATGCAATTTTTCATTTAGAAATGATAAATTGATCATTAACAAAGGATGAAAATACAATTATTAAACAAATGATGGATATGCTTTTAAATCAAGAAGAAAGCATTTATATCTGTATTTATAAACTGCTTATTAATGTCTATTAATGCTTGAATGATGAATTAACTGGTTACTCATGCTTAACTAATGATTATTAGGGTGTAGTTATTATAAAGTGTTACCGTATTTGGAATTAATGGAGACGTAGTTGAATCTATTGTACAGTAGCCTAATATAATTATTTCTGTCAATTTCTATAAGTTAAACCAAACTTTTATTTTGACGGTTTGCCGTGAAGACCTTTGAGTTTATGTGCGTGTATGATATGACGATAGTTTTTCTCAAATTAAACAGTTAAGTAAAATGCTCATGAAGTGACTCTCAGAGATTAATGGAATTATGAATCATGTCATATCGTGAGGCTGTCACTCAGCATCACTCGTGCTTCAGTGTGTGTGTGTGAGGTAACGTTAAATGAAACCGAGCGTCTGCGCGTCCGTTCATTCACACAGAGACAAGCAGAACATGCTGGGTGCATATTTGAATAGTCGTTTTGCAGTGTAATATACACAGAAACCACATCAGCAGCGCCGCCGGTCGCCATGTCTCAGCGCTTTCATGAAGCGGACGCAACTTCACGCCCTTCGTGTATGTATGCGAATCCAGAACCGGGTTTTACCGGGTACTCGGTACCACCAACCATGACGAGGTGGAGCCGGAGGGTCGAGAGAACCTGGTGGAGTTCGATGGTCCTTGGTGGAGCAGAGGGAGGGAGGAGCCGAAGCAAAGCGGAGCCGAAGTGGAGTGACAGGAACAGTGGCTGGAGGTGGGGCCGGGTCCACCGGAAGACCATAGTCAGATCCACACAGAGTGGCATTGGAGGAGAAGTTGAGGGGCTAAAGGGAACCAGCAGAGGCAATGCTGGAGAACTGGCTGTCTTTGGAAGAGGAGGCTGGGTGGGAACACCTCAGCTTTGGGAGTGTGGGCGGAGTCTGCCTCCATTCCCTTGTACTCCACCACAATTCCCACAGCTATGATTGGCTCAGTCCCCCTTTCAGACTCGGGCTTGTGCATAGTGGCAGACTCAAAATGCTGATCCGTTATTCACCAGCACCCCTTCCACAAATGTGGCGAAATTATTTCTGGGACTGCTCACTGGAAGGCGTGCCTTAGACCGGATAGTGAGTGAGTCAAGCCAGTTCTAATAAGTCCCTGGTGTGGTCCTCCACTGAGTGGCCCTTTTGCTCCAGGCAGAGCAGAAACAAAAAGGGGAGAAAAGAAAATGGTGCAAAAATTACTCCTTTTTAAGGTCCAGTTTTCTCTCATGTGTAGTCAAGTATTTTTAATGAGTAAGAAGAACACACAGGAGAATTAGAGTAAAATAAACACTCACATAAACAATATAGAAAAATGAATTGAAGAAACTAAGGAGCTGTTTACATGACACAATTTTCAAATAAAAACGTAAACATTTTATGCGATTTGGCCTGAAACGCAAACTTTTGAAAATGAGTTTCAAAGTGCGAGTTTTTTGAAAATGGTCTCCATGTAAACAACAAAAAAGTGAACCTCTAAAGGCGATGATGTCATTCACATGCATATTACATGTTCAGTCTATAGTCTGAATTTCATTGCCATTGAATTTCATGGCCTGTGAGCAGAATACATGGTTTTTAGTAGTTTTCGCGGATCCAAGTGAATGGGGATCGTTTTGACAGTGATTTTGTCTGTACGTGGAAAACGTACGCATATTGTTGTCGTGTAAACGCAACCTAAGGGTTTCAATTACATTAAGTAATTGAGTAAAACTGAAACAGGTGTCAGATGAATTAAGCCAGGGAAACTAATGAGCAGGAACACTGGCAAACAGGGAGGATTGAAACAAAATACTGAAACTAAACAAAACCGATGTATAACCCTGACACGCAGCTCTTAAAGTCCCTGTAAAGTCAAAATTAAGTATGTGTTCTGAGTCTGTCATACCACAGAAAAATGTGTTATTAGCCACCCAGCCAAATTTGAATGATAAAAAAAGCCGGCAAGTACATAAAATAAGCTATCAAAATCATGAAAAAATGAGCAGATTCTCTGTTCTCAAACGCTGGGGGCGTGTCCGCTGGCTGCGCTGAAACCACGCCCACTAGCGGGAAAGCTGTTGACGGTGATATTAGCTAAATAGCTTTTGGAGATGGGAGGATGAACACTGAAGGCCAATTTATACTTCTGCGTCGAGGGTACGCCGTAGTGCACGGCGTTGGCTTGGTTGCTCTGCAGTACTGCTCCGAAACGCTAGTTGGCGGCGGAGGGTTTTAATGTTCCACTGTGTTTAGATTCCTCACGGCTAGGGTACTACAAGCAATAGCGATTGAAAGAGAGTGGATCATGTTGGAGTTGGAGCTTATTGAGGTGGAAAAACAGTTCACTTTAGTGAAATTAGTAAAACTGAAAGGCAGAAATGACAGGAAACATCGGAGGAGATGGTACGTGTGGAAATCATAGACAGTGGTGGAAATGCGTGAGAAGGTACGTGCGGAAATGCGTAGGAGGAAATGCGATGCTACCAAGCCGACCAATCACCGATCTTGCGGTCCGCGTCGTCGCGACGTGTAGTTACATTTTTGAAGAGGTGCGCGTCGCGTCAGGCGACGGCGAAGGGTACGCGTCTGTGCGTATGCTACGCCGTACCTACTGCGCACACCCTACGCAGAAGTATAAAGGCCAATTTATACTTCTGCGTAGGGTGCGCGCAGTAGGTACGGCGTAGCATACGCACAGATGCGTCCCATTGCGTGTACCCTTCCCCGTCGCCTGACGCGCACCTCCTCAAAAATGTAACTACACGTCGCGACGACGCGGACCGCAAGATCGGTGATTGGTCGGCTTGGTAGCATCGCATTTCCTCCTACGCATTTCCGCACGTACCTTCTCACGCATTTCCATCACTGTCTATGATTTCCACACGTACCATCTCCTCCGACGTCTTCTCTCATTTCTGCCTTTCAGTTTTAGTAATTTCACTAAAGTGAACTGTTTTTCCACCTCAATAAGCTCCAACTCCAACATGATCCACTCTCTTTCAATCGCTATTGCTTGTAGTACCCTAGCCGCGAGGAATCTAAACACAGTGGAACATTAAAACTCTCCGCCGCCAACTAGCACTTTACGGTGTACCCTCGACGCAGAAGTATAAATTTACCTTAAGGCCGGATTCACATATAGCGCCTAAAAACGTGTAGAAAACGCTGGGCGCGCCGCATTCTCCTTTTTCCAAAACGCTAGGGCGGTTGCGCTCTGGTTGGTTCTAGTCACGTGACCTATTGTGCGCTTATGGTGCGCTTGCGGCATTCTGAAAAGTTGAGATGTTTTTATCTCGACGCGGCGCGGACGCGCTTGGAAAAAACGAGCGCGTCGCACCGCGACCGCGTCGCTTCCATTATGAGCGCGCATACCACGTGCCTACATTTGAAATAACGAACTTGAGCGCGCAAAAGACGCGATATGTGAACCGGCCCTAAATTGGCCTTGAGGCGGGAGATCGTCGTTTCGGCCCCGTTCACCAGTAACGGTGGATTATCAGTGAATCCCAGTTGTCTCTGAGGAAAGTTTATAAAACGATCCAGTGTAAAATGATCACTACAGAGGCGGGTGTTGGGGGTGATCCTCAGCTTTTCATCAACAAGGTTGGCTCTCTAAAAACCTCTTCTTGATGTGATCGTTTTTAGGGGAATTTAAATGAAGATACCGATCTGTTTTGTACATGATCGCATCCAGGTAGTAGCCCATGCATGTCCATGTCGAAGGCATAGCTAGCTAGAAAACTGTAGGCTCAGCTGTAGTAACTAATAGTACTGACAGACACTCGCGATTGAGCGGTGAATGCGAATGTGCTCGGGGAGTGTGTGTGGAGAGAGGGAGAGATCAGACTCAGTGCGTCATCAAATAGGGGGGTGTCCAGCAGCTCATGAGTTCCAGTGCGTCACGGAGCCCTGTTTTAGCCCCGCCTAATTAATCCGTAAAATTGCAATGGTGAAAAACTGTTTAACGGTCTAACTCCACATTTCAGTACTTCACAGTTCACAGACTTTGTAATATGTTTTAGCAATACATATGTAACATTTATAATGTGTTTAGAACTTTTTTGTAGAATTGCCTTTACAGGGACTTTAAATCTAATACTTTATATATGTATTTGTTCATGCTAGCATGATTTATTTGTACAGGCACATCTACAGATGTGAGCAGATACGCTGGACAGTATGAACATGTGTTTGAAGCGACTGTCGCTGGCATCACCCTGCAGGCACCACAGCTTGACATCAGCACTGTAGCAGCAGGTGGAGGCTCTCGACTGTTCTTTCGGTAACAAACATACACTATTAATATAGATAATGCAATTATTGATTTGTTGAGTCTGTGCTCTGATTTTGTAAAGCTTTTTAAAATAAATTTTACACATTGTAAAGCATTCTTTTAGATTTAGATAGGTTGGTTGAGTTGTTCTCACTGGGATTTTTTGGGGTTGTTAAATCAATGACCAATTGTTTTGTTGTTAATAATTTAACTGGTTAAGATTACCAATGAATCAATGCTGACTGTGCAATCATCTGAAGCTAGTGTGCCCACTCAGTTTTGGAATGTGTCTCTATAAATAAAGATTATGTTCACTGGAAACATCCCTGACAGGAGCCCTATCATTTAGGTCATGGTTTAATGTTTGGTGTAAGGTTTTCTGTGTTCAAGCACATATTTTCTGTTCTGGCATCTTGCCCTTTACCTCCCTTGTTTGTTACTCTCCTGACTTCTTTCCATTTCCATGTGCGAATTCCAATCGGGATACATTTGATGTACCATACAACACATTAACATGTCATAGTACATTACAACCATAAAGAATGAGAGCTTAACTATATTAACCCTGTGTAAGTTAGGAAAGTTGAACATTTCTTTTGTCTGTCTGTATTCCAGGTCTGGGATGTTTGTTGTTGGGCCAGAGTCTGCTGGTGCTCATCCCGGACCGGCATGCTATAGGAAGGGTAAGAGCGAGGCAAGCGAATGTTAGGTTCTCATCAGCCTCATAGAAAAATAAAATAAATAGACGCCTCATTGGCTGCTTTGGACCATTGCTGCGATACGCTAATGAGTCTGCCATATTGGTGGGGGCAAGACTGCTCTAGAAACAAATACAAGTAAACGGAGAACTTCAGTTTTTTTGGACAAAAGGCGGCTAAAAAAGGTTTACATTTCTCAACCGATTTCAGAGGTTTATGACTGCATGCAATTACTCTGAATCTCGCTAGTTAGAAATTGAAAATTATTTTTTGTCATAAGTAATGTACATGAAATGCTCTCTTCGTTTTTAATTGTGGAAATGGCTTTTCCACACACCGTCATTTTAGCTTTTTACACTTGCGCTTTTAGTTTTTTCACTTGAATCACTTTATAGGATGTCACAGGACAATTTTAAATAAATATGAAGATAATGCGAGACTCAATACATTTATTTATCTAAAGCATTTATTTTTTCTTTTTTATAATATATTTCTATATTGGTACTCCTAACCCTGGTTGCAGTTTAACACACAAATGTTTATTTTATTATTCATAACACAACAATAAATGTCTTTTATAGAGATTTTATATTATAGTAAAAAAGACATAACATTGTCTTTTCATTTTAAATGGACAGCTTTATATTTAATTGTGTGTGTGGCAACTTAAACGATGTCTGGGAGCATCAGACCAACTGCAACAATGAGCAATTAAAGACATTTAAAGATGATTGTAGGCAATGTTATTGTTAATAGACTTAAAATACTATTGAGTTTGAGTATAATATAGTAGTAATATAATAATTATGAATAAAATAGCAAAATAGTGTATATATCAGAAATTGTAAAATATTATAGTCAATATAACATTGAGTAGTGAATAGTACAATCATATAATAGTATAAGTCATATAGAGAACCGTCCACTGACAGGCATTCTTAATCCTTCCTTGAGGTTTCCTCTCTTCTTTGGAGAGATGAGATCTGTAATGACAGGTTAAGCTCTGTCTGTAATTCTGACAGCCTGATGTCATAAGAATCATGTAAACTTTATATCATAAACGTAACAGACTTACGTTTGAAAGGCAATTCACCAAGAAATGGTTTGGATTGAACAAAGGTTTGTTAAACCTCAAAACAGTCAGGGATCTTTTCTACAGTCCAATTATTAGAGTTACGACAATTTGCCTGGACAAATATGCCGGCGCCGTTGACATACGATCCAGCGGCCAATGAGGTGTATCTGTATTTTATATGTCTATGATCGGACTCACCATCTGTCTGTTGTCTTCTTGCTTGTACATCTACCACTTTAGCTCTACATTGCCTAATACTTGCTCTTGCCATCTGTTCTTCAAATGTCTGTCTCCCGTCTATTGCAGTGTCCCAGTTCACATGCTTCAGTACATATAACACATAATGTTGGGACATTAGTACTGGGACATTAAAGGGTTAGTTCACCTAAAAATGAAAAAGATGTCAGAAAAAATCAGTAGGTTAGCTAATGGTACTGAATTCAAGCGTTCTGAATGCAGCCTTACTCAAATGTTTTATGTTCTTTTAGGTTCATACTTTTAAAATTTGCTGCGACATACCTTAGATACTCGGCCATGTTTTGTTCAACTGGCAATTTAATGGTTCAGCTTTAACAAATCTTGGTTCCTTTGTCAGTGTTTCATAAAGACGGGACTCAAAGCTACACTCACTCGATGGCACATGCTTATTCTGTTTCTCTTTTGGTTCAGGTGGTCCTCTGACTGTCACTGATGCAAATCTAGCCCTTGGTCGCTTGCTGCCTTCTTTCTTCCCCAAAATCTTTGGCCCTGGAGAAAATGAGCCTCTCTCAACTGAGGAAACTATGAAGCATTTCCGCAAACTCACACAAGAAATTAACCTATTCCTTTCAACTAACAAATCATCTAGTAATGCTTCTGGAAGACACCACACAGAAATGAGTGTAGAGGATGTTGCCATGGGCTTCATCAGTGTGGCCAATGAGGCCATGTGCCGGCCAATCAGAGCGCTCACACAGGTACAGCACACTATTCTGTTTTTATAGTTTAGATAAGAGAAAAGGTGGGGTCTTTCTATCCTTTAGGAATTTCCAGGCTGGTTGTTGTGACAAAATTAGAAATAAGTTGCCACCACAAATAAAAACATTCAACCTTCTTGAGACTGAAAAAACAGTCTGCACAAAAGAAACTTGTTTAGGTAGCCACTGAACTTATCTAGGTAGCCACTTGTTGATTTGATAACAAGATTACACTGAGATCAACGACTCTGTGAACAGAATTTGTGCACTGCACATATTACGATCTGCTGATGTTCACATAATAGTAACTGTCAAATCGGCTAATGAGTTTGTTTACGTAGATTTCACTTTTAGCTGGGTGATGTGTGTTATGGCCATGTACAGGCTAAAGTTTCAGGAGTGACAAATGCATTCAAATGTATGGAACACGACTCGCTCCCGAAACTGCGAGTTTTGCGTCTTGTGTATTTGGTCTCCGCTATTCTGACTAAAGAAACCGTATAGCGGCAAAAGGCACGATATGTTTAGCAATTTTACGGTAACGCTTTACAATAAGGTTCATTAGTTAACATTAGTTAACTACATTAGTTAACATGTACAATATGTGAACAATACTTCTTCAACATTTATTAATCTTAGTTAATATTAATTCCAACATTTACTAATACGTTATTAAAATCAAAGGTTGTATTAGTTAACATTAGTTAATGGACTGTGAACTAACATGAACGCACAAGGAAAAACTGTATTTGTATTTACTAACATTAACAAAGATTAATAAACACCGTAACTAATGCATTGCTCATCGTTAGTTCATGTTAGTTAATGCATTTGCTAATGTTAACTAATGAACCTTATTGTAAAGTGTTACCAATTTTACTTAAGCACAGTCAATGGAGGTGTTTTGTATGGCTAATGCTTGATAAGGCTGCTCACATTTGCAGTTTTGCCATGTCCACTTATTATAATAGTTTTTGGGCTTGTTGTTTTGCTCATAAAGCTATTTGCTGCGTCCCAATTCGCTTACTTATACTACGCCCTAAAAGTATGTACTCTTTTTGTGAGGAAAAAGTACATACTTTTGAGTGTGTAGCAAAAGAGTAGGCAAGCTTTGGGACAAACTATCACGTCATCTTTAACGGACAGCTCTGACGCGTGCTGCGTGCATCCTGTCACCGTAAACTGCCCTGACAATCATCTTGTCACAGTTAAAATCCTCCATTCTATCTAATTTTATTTCCTACCGTTTCGGAGAGCACAGTTCATCTGCCAGTTGTGGGTCTTTCATGCTCTCCTCATGTGTTTGCAATTTGAATATAATGATGCATTTAAAACGTAATGGCTAAACGTGTCTTTACAAAAGTTCACAATGCTGCTGCAAATGTGGACAACATTGAATAAATTCATTTTCATCAGGTTAGATACTGATAATTAGTCACTCAAAGCTCTTTATCTAAACCTCTCTACACAACCGCGGGGACTCGCGCGTCCTCCGTATCGACTACGTGTCTGTAGTTTTTTAACACTTTTTACTCGTGTTTGTAGTTCTAACCGAATCCTCGTCCAACGCGCAATGGTTTGTGGGCAATATCAGCCGTTAGAGTGTGCATCGATCTTCACTTCGGATTCTGACCGGAAAAAGTAGACCATCCGGGTATCTTTGAAACACTCATTTCAACATACTACGATTTGGGACGTACTAATTCTATTTTCGAATACTATTTAGGACGGATAGTATGCGAATTGGGACGCAGCAATTGAGTTTATGAAGTTATTAAAGTGAGCAGGTGTGGGTCATGAAAGTCTTATTTTTAGCATAAAGCACTTGGATTAATGTCGTTTTTTGTGGGCTTGTTCTTGTTTCTTGTAAGATCTGGCAACACGAATGAGTCTAGGCTTGTACCACTTTCACTGTTATTTAAGCAGGCACAAAAGAGAAACATCAATGATCCATGTTAAAATATGTCATTAGCAAGCAACTAGTTGTTCGGTTCTGTACACTCTGCGTAGAATTTTTGTATAGCATTTTTTGAGAGTTAATGCGGTTGTAGTATGCGGTTTTCACTCCCATAAATGACTGGTTTGTGTGTGTACAGATCTGGATTAAGCAGTAAAAGGTGAATTGAGAACTGTATTCAGCTGCAGTGTGTACGTGGCCTTAGTTTCATACTTAGTTTCATGCACTTGTGACACTTCATAGCATCAGTTCCCTGAGAATCGAACCAATAACCATTGTATGCAACCTTTTGAAGGAATGTACCACTGTAAAGTAGTTTAACAACAGTTGTGTTATGAATCCTAATGCAATGTTGTGAGAACATAAACATGAACAACGCTCAGGACAGTTGATGGAGCTTGCTGCATCGTCACAACAGTTTGAGCCTTGCCAATTTAAATATTCAAGCACAAGAAGATGAAATTATGTAACATTATAATTATGTATTACAAAATTATGTTAAAAAAGATGAGTATTCTAGTAAACATATTCAGTAATGGCTTAAGTGAATGTAAACAGTTTTCAAAAAAAGACAACACATATATACAGTATCAGTAAATTGGATTTCTGCATTGTCTTAAAGTGACAGCAGCCTAATATTCCCGCTGATGTCTGTTTTTAATGTTAATCAAACTACAAAAGACAGAAAAAAACTCTCTCTGCCCTTGACTTAAAAACCTGTGTAACTTTATCTATATTTAATTTATACAGTGAAGACTGTATGGAGTTTTACATAACATAACATCAGATCAGATTTGTCCTTGTACTTGTTTCTTGTGTTATCCTTATGAAAGGAATTGTTCGTCTTTGTTATTTTTAATCAGAATGTAATAACTATTTCACTGATAACCAGATGACCAACAGTTGTGTAGTGTTTTTTTTTTATTTTTTTTTTATTTTTTTTAGGAATGTTTTATACAATTTTGGATTCTAAAGCCCACCATCCAACCAATTGCTGCTTTACAGGGACGGGTATCTAAATTTGTGTTTTGAATATCAGCTCTCTCTCAACAGGCTAAAGGACATGATACATCTAAGCATGTGCTGGCATGTTTTGGAGGAGCCGGTGGTCAACATGCTTGTGCCATCGCAAGAGCCTTAGGCATGAAGACTGTCTTCATACACAAGTATGTTTGTATGTTTATGTGTACAGTATCTGTGTGTTTTAGTGTGTTCAGCATTTGTCGCATGCTTGAATAGGATGATAATGAGATGCTTTTTCCAGAATCTGTTTTGCTGCATGTAAATTCATTTGTGAATGGCTGATGGTCATCAAATTTGTCTTCTACATGTAGGGTGTGTGCATGACGCTGTCTGCTAAAAATTTTTTTTTTTTGTTATTTCAGAAACTTTGTGAGCTATAATCTCAATTACCTGAGTCAGAATTTTAATTTTTTCCTGCCATTGTGAACTTTGTTTGAACTCCTCCTAGGTCATTTATCTATATTTATCTTGTGGTACACATGGAAGATCGCATTAGTTTTTAATTACTGTGCACTATAACTTAAGAAAATGAAGAATTGTGATACTGTGATCACAAAAGTGTTAATACGACATTAAAAAACTGTAAACACATCATGTTCTCTTCACATGTCCTTTGACCCCAGTGATTGGCTTCAGGGCCTAAAATGAACTCTCACCAAGTGCCAAATGCAAATCAATTGCCAGTTGGCCAGTAACATTTTTATGAATCCTAATGCAATATTTTGAGAACATAAACATGAACAACTCTCAGGACAGTTGATGGAGCAATGCTGCATCTTCACGACAGTTTGAGCCTTGCCAAAATATTCAAGCACAAGAAGATGAAATTATGTAACATTATAATTATGTATTACAAAATTATGTTAAAAAAAGCCTGTCTTGGCGAGTATCCTAGTAAACATATTCAGTAATGGCTTAAGTGAATGTAAACCGTTTTTAGAGAAAGACAACACAGTATCAGTAAATTGGATTTCTGCATTGTCTTAAAGTGACAGCAGCCTAATATTCCCACTGATGTCTGTTTTTAATGTTAATCAAACTACAAAAAACAAAGAAAAAAACTCTTCCTGCTCTTGACTGAAAAAACTGTGTAACTTTATTCATCTTGATTCATCTATATTTAATTTATACAGTGAAGACTATATGGAGTTTTCTTTTACATTCATTCATACACTGAACATTACTTTGTTCAATTTATATACCTGCCTGAAAAACCTTAAAAGCACTGTTTATTTATTTATTTTTTATCTTTGTTCTACTGTATTTATGTGTGCTATTTCTTGTAATTTGATGACTTGTTCTTGTTTACTTAACAATGTTTAATACAAATGTTTATATAGAATTTTTACTGGTATGGTGTCATTACTGCATGTTTCATGGCCATTGTCATGTGTGGCACAAAGTTAGTTTTATTCCCTGATTTGATATTTATATTCATACTATATATTTTTTTCATACAACCATGTTTGCTGGGGAGTCTTTATGGGCCATTTAGAATAAGAACACTGACATTGAAGTGCTTAAGTTTTTTAAAATGAATTGGTGATAGTACAATACTCTTTCTTTTTTTACTGTTAGATACAGCGGAGTGCTGTCAGCATACGGTTTGGCTTTGGCTGATGTGGTGGAGGAGGTTCAGGAACCGTGTTCTCTACAGTATGAAGCCGGCTCATACTCCAAGCTGGACCAGAGGATAGAGGAACTCTCTCAACGCTGCGACCAAATACTGAGCAAACGAGGCTTTAGCAGGTCACTCTCAAGGATAGTCACATTGAAAAGCTTCTCTTTTGGCTCATCTGGTGTATCATTATCTTTTAACAAACACAAATGAAAATGCAACACAAAGTTGAAAATGACATGATTGTGTCTGTACAGTTCTCAGATCAGTATGGAAGTGTTCCTGCACCTGCGTTATGAGGGCACAGATTGCGCGCTCATGACCACGGCTGCAGGTCACCCCAGTAACGCCCACTCCTGTCGCGCGGGAGACTTTCGCACGGCCTTCACTAAACGGTAATGCTGTTTATATTGTGAATGGTCAACAAATGACTTGATGCATCCTCTACTGTTTCTCACTCTTTCGAATTCTACAACAGATATCTGAAAGAATTTGGCTTCACCATCACAGATCGGCCAATCGTGGTGGATGATATCCGTGTGCGTGGTTCTGGGAAGTCTGGAATTAGGTCAAAAGTTCAGCCAAAAGCAGAGCAGAAACCTCTGAGTCCTATTAAGGTATTAATAAACAATGCAAACCTAACCATATATTTTAAAAGATTAAAAAAGAAAATACCAAAACTGCTACTCTGATAGCTGTAAATGCTAGGAAGTCAAGTCCCTTTTCACATTTCTGTGGTTCTCAGAAGCTTACCGAACTATGATGACCTTCGTTTCAGTGGTGAATGGGAATTACCACAAATATCATTTTTATGTTCTCATTTGCTCCAATAGCAAAAGGAAAAAACTCTGTGTTTCTATTACTTAACAAAAAGCGGAAAAAATATACAGAGAGTAGGCGCGTTTGCGGTATTTTCTAAATGTCGATAAAAAACTATTGCAAAATGACAGCGTTTCCATTAACTGATGTTATGCGGTTTCTCTCCATTTCTTTTTGAGTCCAGTAAGCTATTCCTATAATTTTTGTTTCTTTTATGAATTGAATAAAGAAATCTGTCTCATATTATGTCCAAAAAGTCAGTGTACTTGCAGTCGTTTTCCCTTATTTAACCCATATTTAACAGTCTGTGAAAAGTGTCTTTGCCTTGACTTTACTGTTATTGGCTATGATGGAGTTTGACCTGTGTAGTCCATTAAATCACAGTGTTGGTGATTTGGGGTTAGCCTACATTAAAATTGGTCGCACACCAGATGAGAAGTGCCTTATTGTGGCTAGGAAAACTCTCCTAGCCACAGGTATTGCAAAGGTATTGCATCATGTTCAGTTCAAGACAGCAGTCCAGAGCAATGATTCTAATCCCCAAACAGGCAAAAGTTCACTTAAAGAGTATGGCATTAAAGTTTGGTGTTTTAAAAACAGCTCAAACAAAAAAAATAGAAAAAATTATCTATATTATTATAGTTCCCTATATAAAGGATATAGACTTTATTCTAGCCACACAACGCACAATCTTTCAGCCCAGGGTGAAGTCACCTGCTCTGCTTCTTGTCTGGTGTGCGACCCCCTCAACAGTGAAAGTTTGAAACATATTTGTGCTGCTTTTAAGTTGCCATCCCAGATTCCACCTCTGCTCTCTTTGGTCATTACAGCAACTTCTTGAGGTATTGAAGATGACATGTATGCAAACCGCTGTTTGATTTATCTTGCCTTACCATACACTCTCAGAAAAATGTGTACAAAAGCTGTCACTGGGGCTGTACCTTTTCAAAAGGTAAACTTTTGTCCATTTCAGGTGCTAATATGTACATTTTAGGTGCTAATATATCCATTTCAGGAGCAAATATGTCCATTTTAGGTCCTAATATGTACATTTTAGGTGCTAATATGTACATTTCAGGTGCTAATATGTACATTTTATGTGTTAATATATCCATTTCAGGAGCAAATATGTCCATTTTAGGTCCTAATATGTACATTTTAGGTGCTAATATGTACATTTCAGGTGCTAATATGTACATTTTAGATGCTAATATGTACATTTTAGGTGCTAATATAACCATTTCAGGAGCTAATATGTACATTTTAGGTGCTAATATGTACATTTTATGTGCTAATATATCCATTTCAGGAGCTAATATGTCCATTTTAGGTCCTAATATGTACATTTTAGGTGGTAAAATGTACATTTCAGGTGCTAATATGTACATTTTAGGTACCAATATGTACATTTTAATTGTAAATATGTACATTTTAGGTGCTAATATGTACATTTCAGGTGCTAATATGTACATTTTGGTGTAAATATGTCCATTTCAGGAGCAAATATGTCCATTTTAGGTCCTAATATGTACATTTTAGGTGCTAATATGTACATTTCAGGTGCTAATATGTACATTTCAGGTGCTAATATGTACATTTTAGGTGCTAATATGTACATTTCAGGTGCTAATATGTACATTTTAGGTGCTAATATGTACATTTTAGGTGCTAATATGTCCATTTCAGGAGCTAATTATGTACATTTTAGGTGCTAATATGTACATTTTATGTGTTAATATATCCATTTCAGGAGCAAATATGTCCATTTTAGGTCCTAATATGTACATTTTAGGTGTTAATATGTACATTTCAGGTGCTAATATGTACATTTTAGATACCAATATGTACATTTTAATTGTAAATATGTACATTTTAGATGCTAATATGTAAATTTTAGGTGCTAATATATCCATTTCAGGAGCAAATATGTCCATTTTAGGTCCTAATATGTACATTTCAGGAGCAAATATGTCCATTTCAGGTGCTAATATGTACATTTTAGGTACCAATATGTACATTTTAATTGTAAATATGTACATTTTAGATGCTAATATGTACATTTTAGGTGCTAATATGTACATTTCAGGTGCTAATATGTACATTTCAGGTGCTAATATGTACATTTTAGGTACCAATATGTACATTTTAGGTGTAAATATGTACATTTTAGGTGCTAATATGTACATTTCAGGTGCTAATATGTACATGTTATGCGCTAATATGTACATTTTAGGTGCTAATATGTATTTTAGGTGCTAATATGTACCACTAAGGTACCACTATGCAGCCTTTGGGTACAAAAGTGTACCTTTTGAAAAGGTACAGCCCCAGTGACAGCTTTTGTACCTTTTTTTCTGAAGTGGCAAGATGCTTTTTACACATATTAGATTTTTTTATTGTGGCTGTTATTAATACAATTATTAATAAAATGAATGAATAAATGAATTAATAAAGGAATGACATTTATTGATTAACTTTTTAACATTTTTCGGACCCAGATGACCCAATGTTACTTTGAGGATCGTTATCTGGACACCAGTGTGTATCTGTGGGAGAATCTTTCCTGTGATCACAGCATCCAAGGACCAGCCATCATTATTGATAAGAACAGGTGTGTGTGATTTCCTAAAAAGTATCTAAGTATTATGTTATACATAGTGATTATTTTTGCCACTTTAAACTTTTGCTAAATTTAGGGGTTTGAGCAAACCTTTTAAAGTTCAGTATGTGTGTGTCATTCTGCAGCATTTGCTCCAGATATGATAAATAATGAATGATTCCTCATGTCTTGTTGAGGAGATTTGCGGAGCTGTACATGAATCAGTGGATTCATGATGTATATGTGAGCATTTTTAACTTGAACTTGATAATAAGTGTTTATATTGGGACTATTTTAGACTGGTTTGGGTCGTACCACTGCGGAGTAGTCCAGTACCTGCGTGACTCGTCATAGGCATAAACAGAGAGAAGTAGCTCCGGCTACAATGTTCTTCTGCAAGACTCATGCAGTTCTGTTTATTAACCAATAGAGCGCCTAAAGTTATGGACTGCAGCTTTTAAAATAAAATGTTACCAATAAATGTTATGATGGCTTTTGCCCCCCTTAAAGCTTCCAATAATAAGATCTTAAAAGTAGAGGGTTTAACTCTTCTCTAAATTGCTGATGTCCTTTCAAAAGGAAGCTGTAACTATCCGTTTCTCTCCAGCTCTTCCATAGTAATCGGTGAAAAAAGAATTCCATTCTGGGATTTGCCAATTGAGGGTTGATCTAAGGCATTTAGAAATATTGTCATTGTTCCTGTAACCATATATTTTTAATTAATTTTTTTTCTTTTGCTAGCACGATTCTCGTGGAGCCAGCGTGTGTGGCTCACCTGACAGAGGATGGTGACGTGTGTATTGATGTCGGTATGGGAACGCAGTGTGTCGTAGGAACTGAACTCAACACCATCCAGTTGTCCATCTTCTCCCATCGCTTCATGAGCATCGCAGGTTTGATGGGGCTGAAAAAAGTTTGGAATGAATGAAGAGTGTGTAAATATGAAATCTGAATAGTGGGCTTCTGCTTTCTGGTTGCTTTCTGGTTCCTCAAACACAGAGCAGATGGGTCGTGTCCTGCAGAGAACCTCCATATCCACCAATATAAAGGAGCGTCTGGATTTTTCCTGTGCTGTTTTTGGTCCAGATGGAGGTTTGGTGTCTAATGCTCCTCACATCCCTGTTCATCTAGGGGCCATGCAGGAGACTGTACAGTTCCAGGTACACAAACACACAAATATACAACAAATTACAACAATAAAATTATCTAATGTGTTTTTTGTTGTTATTAGTATGGTTAAATTGGATCATCGAATGTCATCAGCAAAGACATTGGTTAATAAAGTGAGATGAAATCGTGTATTTATGCATGCATGCTCACATTTAGCTTAGAACTACAATAACCATCATATTTACTCAGTGCTCACAATGCATCATCTTACTTTCAACTTCTCTCAATATGGGGACAGAAGAGGTCTTCTCCTTCCTGTTTAATCAATAGGAAAACAAAGTAACTTGCGTTACTTATTTGAAAAAGTAACTAAGATATTTTAATGTAAATTTAAAAGTAATGTGTTGCATTATTAGTTAGATTACAGTAATCTTGCCTTACTTTTAATGTGTTACCTCTAAAACTGGTTGTCGCTCATTACGCCAACTTTTGCCCTGCTCTCTGTCTTCTCATTCATTGTGCATGAAAATGTCACAGAGTTTCTGAAGTAGGACGTTCCAGTCATGGCTGCTAAACAACAGCTCTTTGGGACAATTAAGAGACTGTTTTATTGATAAAACATTATGAAAAAAATGTAACAACTGTTTGGACATGAGAGGATGAAATTTCATACTGTCATACCAGATAATGCTTGTTTTGATGCCACTACTGAAGAAAATCAGATCATTTTAAAGTCTTTTATCAATGTGATTTCTTGCATTGTCTGTTTATTGTTTTGCTTGTAAACCTTTAAAACTAATCTGTATAAAAACAGGGTTACACTTTATTTGGTAACAATTTATTTTACCATGTCCTTGTTACATATGTTTGTATGTACTTACCATAGTAATAACTATAAATTATGCATATTTACATGCAACTAACCCTCAACCAAATCCTAATCCTACCGTCCGTTGACACCACTTTCATACTCGTAAGTCGTTTACACCTGGTTTTACACCTGACTGATACCAGTCGATTGCTCGATTTCAGAGCTGTGAAGCATTTCTGATCGATCTTGAGGTGAATTAGACCGAAGGCCCATGCCCGAGGAAGTACTCGCGCTTTTAGCCATAACTGCAGTGGGAGCATGCGAAGCAGACCCAACTGGGAGTACTGATGATGCCGAGGCCATGAGACCCAGCATTTTCTGAAACCTTTTGAGTGTGACTATAGTGCCACAGCAGAAGGATTTTGTGATGCGCTGAATGTTCAGTCTGTGCTCTGGTGACAGTCGCACTGTCATAAACAGCGAGTCCAGTTCTGTGAAAAGATATTCTCTGCAATTGACTTTTGAGACCTAGATTCTCGAGATGTTCGAGTAATATGGTCCTGTATTCTATGAGCTCTGACTGAGATCGAGCTAGAATCAGCCAATCGTCCAAGTAGTTCAAAACTTGCATGCCCCAAAGTTTCAGGAGTGCGAGGGTTGCGTCCAAGCACATTGTAAATGCACAGGGTGCTAGGGACAGGCTGAACGGTAGGACTGTGTATTGATATAACTGGCCCTCGAAGGCAAATCTCAAGAATCGCCTGTGACGTGACGCTATTTGTATTTGGACATACACGTCCTTAAGATCTATTGACAGAAACCAGTCCTCTTGGAAAATTTGCGCGAGGATTTTCCTGGTTGTGAGCATTCTGAACTGGTGTTTCACAAGCACTTTGTTCAGCTGTGTTAGATCTAGAATGTGTCTGAGACCCCCGTCTTTTTTCAGTACCAGAAAGTATCTGCTGTATAGACCCCTTTCGCTCTGAGCTTGAGATAAAGGCTCTATGGCCCCTTTGCTTAATAGTTTCGCTATTTTAGCTCGAAGTAGATGAGCTACTTTGAGTTTTACCATAGTTTCGACCCACTCCATATAGTGGGGGGGACGTTGATTATTACACTTAGAACACCATCGTCATGGCCGGAATACCAAAAAATACATTCTTCATGTGATTTATCTGGGTCGCTATGAAAACAGCATTTGTGTGCAGGCAAGCGGGCCGTGGTAATGGATTGTTTACTGCAAAATACACTGGAACAGTCATTTTCTGGAACTGAATGAGCGAAAGGTTTTGGTGGAAGTCTGGCGACGGCGAATCTTTTGCCGGGGCCCATGCAGAGATGGGCGGCGGCCGGCAGAGCGAGAGTGTGGTCTCAGGTCCTGGGCTTGACGGTGCTGTGAAGCGGCGGTGGGCGGAGGCTGTGGCTGGGAGCTTCGAGCAGACGGCTGTTTTAGGCGACCTGCTGCAAAGCCAGAGCGCTTTGGACGGCTTCGGACCGTCATTTTCCCAGGAGGGCTAGGATGTCTTTGAGGCCTCGGCTTTATCTTAATCTTTTGCCGGGGCCCATGCAGAGAGGGGCGGCAGCCGGCAGATCTCAGGTCCTGATCTCAGGTCCAGATCTGTGGTCTCAGGTCCTGGGCTTGACGGTGCTGTGAAGCGGCGGTGGGCGGAGGCTATGGCTGGGAGCTTCGAGCAGACGGCTATTTTGGGCGACCTGCTGCAAAGCCAGAGCGCTTTGGAGGGCTTCGGACCATCATTTTCCTAGGAGGGCTAGGATGTATTTGAGGCCTCGGCTTTATCTCAATCTTTTGCCGGGGCCCATGCAGAGAGGGGCGGCGGCCGGCAGATCTCAGGTGCTGATCTCCGGTCCAGATCTGTGGTCTCAGGTCCTGGGCTTGACGGTGATGTGAAGCGGCGGTGGGCGGAGGCTGTGGCTGGGAGCTTCGAGCAGACGGCTATTTTGGGCGACCTGCTGCGAAGCCAGAGCGCTTTGGAGGGCTTCCGACTGTCATTTTCCTAGGAGGGCTAGGATGTATTTGAGGCCTCGGCTTTATCTCAATCTTTTGCCGGGGCCCATGCAGAGAGGAGCGGCGGCCGGCAGATCTCAGGTCCTGATCTGTGGTCTCAGGTCCTGGGCTTGAAGATGCTGTGAAGCGGCGGTGGGCAGAGGCTGTGGCTGGAGGCTTCGAGCAGACGGCTGTTTCTGGCGACCTGCTGCGAAGCCAGAGCGCTTTGGAAAGAAGTGGTTCATAGCCTGTGATGTCTTTTGAACCTCAGCGAATCTATTTGTAAAATCTTTGACAGATGATCCAAAGAGGCCAGCTGGGGAGATGAGCGCGTTGAGAAACGTGGAGTGCTCCGAGTCTGGCATCTCTGATAATGTCAGCCATAGGGGTCTCTCAGCAACGGTAAGGGAAGCCATGTTCCGCCCAATGGCCTGTGCAGTGGATTTCGCGGTGCGAAGAGCCAGGTCCGTAGCGCTACTCAAATCCACCACGCTGATAGCATCCTGTCCTTCCTCATCCAGTCTTCGGAGAAGGTCGGCTTGGAAGATCTGCAGTATCGATCGAGTGTAATGCCGATACAGCCTGCCTGGTGAGTCCTCAGAGTCACCATGGGCAATAGCTCACAATGATGGCAGCCGCCGTCAGCGAGCGCGAGAGCTGCATGATCCTCACCCAGGCAGGAAACACAGATGACATGGCCGTCCCCGTCGCTAAGTGCGGCTCGGCACGAGCCACAGGAACGAGGCATCTTTAAAAAGACGCTGCTCTTTTAGAGAGAGAAAGGTACTGTGAGTCGCAGCAGAGAACACACACTCAGCAGAGTAAAGGAAATAAACGCTGGAAAGCGTAGCAGGTACGGCGACTGAAGACGGCGAGATGAAGGCCAGCGGCTTCAGATGCAAAGGCTCGTCCCACAGAAGACTTTTTCTCAGACGGTGTGGCTTCTTCACTCCGGATCCAGCGATGCGTGAGCTTCGCTGAAGAGATGAAAAATCAGATTATATCAGCCAATCGAGCTGTATATATAGGCCCAGGTCACGCCCATCTCGGCGGGACGTGACGTAGTGAGCGTGAAGCACCCCCATTGGATCTGACGTCACCAAGGGCCTCACTCAATTGGCTGTTGCAGTTGCCGCAGGACAGCCAATAGGCGCGCCGTCTAGCCTATGTCTGCATGCTACCGCAACGCGTTTTACATAAATTCAGAATTAAGTCTAATTTTTGGCTTCAATATCATATTTGAATGTATGAGAATCTGCTCTCTCTCAGATGTTTGTGAATATAATCCGAATGATGCAGATGTGCATGCTTGGTGTTGTATTTTGAATAAACTAAAATACTAAAGCATTGTAATAACTGTTTGATTTATGTTAGATAAAGGCGTCAGGAGGCCGCATGCAGGAGGGAGATGTGATTCTCAGTAACCATCCGTGTGCGGGTGGCAGTCATCTACCAGACCTCACTGTCATCACTCCTGTAGGTTGCTCAGGATGAACTTTATGCAGTTTCATTTTAAATGATATGCTAAGGCTGTCTCCAAAATGTTTGACTCGTTTTCACAACACATTTGAAAATGAAGCCCAATCTTGTATTACTGTAATGTTCTGGATGCTACACTTTTGACATCATTAAGTTGACCTGTAAGAGCCAACTTACTTAAACCCTATTTAAACTTATTATTATTCTTACTCTGAAATTTCTATATCTAACTCGTCCTAGAGTTTTAACTCAACAAACTCTAAACTCAGGCTTAGTGTGCTAAATCTTTTCAGATTGACTTACTGTACTGTATTTATGTTGTCATCATTTTGGAGATTCAATGTGAAAGAAGTACAAAAATATACTAAAATCTTTACTGATGACGCGATTAATTAAAGAAAATAGTGCAATTAATTTTGTTTAATCGATTGACAGCACTAATGTATGTATAGTTGTAGATGTGTGTGTTATTAATGCAGATAATTTTCCTGAAATTGCACATTAATTTGCAGCATAACTTGATGCGATTGGCTCTGTCTTCTGCAGGTGTTTCGTGATGGCATAAGTGCGCCGGTGTTCTTTGTGGCCAGTAGAGGGCATCATGCTGATATAGGGGGCATCACTCCAGGCTCCATGCCCCCCCACTCCACCTCTCTACAGCAGGAGGGCGCTGTCTTTACTTCCTTTAAACTGGTCTCGGGTGGAGTCTTTCAGGAGAAAGGTTAGAAAAAACAATGTAACAGATGCTGAATACTGAATTATTATCATCATATTGTATTTCCATGGTCAGTCTATATAAGATTGGTGGTGTTTATTTTCAATTTTGTCATTATTCATAGTCATCTTTATGTCTATCAGCTGTGACAGAAGCCCTCATGGCACCTGCTCAATACCCAGGATGTTCTGGGACACGCAATCTCCGTGACAACCTGTCGGACCTTCGAGCTCAGGTAGCAGCCAATCAGAGGGGCTGTCAGCTTGTTGGGGAGATAATCACCAGCTACGGCCTGGAGGTCGTCCAGGCATACATGGGGTACATTCAGGTGTGGACATTGGTGTGATATTAAAATGTCAGCCTGATGTTTATGTCAGGGATCGCCATATGTTTATCAATCAAACGCCCTGTGTGTATCTAGAGTAACGCAGAGCTTGCAGTTCGTGACATGCTGAAAGATTTCGCCCGTCGGCGGCGACAGGAAACAGGCTCCCTTGAGGTTGAAGCAGAAGATCAAATGGACGATGGGACCCCAATCAGATTGAAGGTCCAGATCAATGAACAACAGGTAAGAAATTATTTGTACTTTATACATTTTTAAATTAAAATCAGTTTCTATATTAGACCTGAAACATTTTTTTTTTACTGTTACTTGCATTTTGATCCTTTCACTCTTCTAGGTTTCGTACTGTACATAATATTAAGATATTTGGACACTTGAGCAGCATTTTAAACATTGCATTATATAACAAAATATCAAAACAATTGGCGCATATGTTTTAAATACTTTGAAATCAAAACATTTCACAAATTGAAGTTTATTAGGTTTGAAATATGGAGCTATAGAACTGAGGGAAAATACAAATTAAAATGGCTGCATTTACGAATGCATTTTACTTAAATTAAATTACACATACAGCAAGCATGACTTGTGTAATTTCATTCTTCAAGCACAAGGATTTGTTGCATGTGTGGTTTTGTTGTAGGTTTGCAACTAACAAGTATTTTGATAAATGATAAATATGTTTATTACTTATTTGATTAATTGGTTAATTCGATGAACAAAGAAAGATGATTAATTAATAATAAAAATAATTGTAATTTTAAATTTTTTTAATCTGTAATTAGCAAAAATTGTTATTCTACTTCTTGCCCAATGTTGTCCTCCAAACAATGTACAATTTGAAAACAATTAAAGCAAATACTCTGCATGTGTTTATGTAAGCCATGTATGATTAAACATGTTTGAAAACCAAAATACAATTTTTCACGGTGCAGTACAGTGACGATCAATACCTCTGTCCATATTTGTGTCTGTCTGCAGGGCAGCGCAGTGTTTGACTTCACCGGCACTGGGACAGAAGTGTGGGGCAACTGTAATGCTCCTCGTGCCATCACCCTCTCGGCCCTCATATACTGTCTGAGATGCATGGTGGGCCAGGACATCCCCCTCAACCAGGTGACACACTTTGGTGGATTGTGCTCAATAAAATGTTGTTTAAAGAAGTGTCTTATGCTCTCCAAAGATACATTGATAGAGTAAAACGGGGGAAAGAAACTGTTAATTATGTGAAATATTATTACTATTGAAATATACTTTAGGTAAAACTTTATTTTACAGGATCCCTGTTACACATCTTACATGTACTTACTAATAACAGTAAATTATTCATAATTACAAACAACTAACCCTAAACCAAACCCTAAACCTGGTTATGTAGTAACTGTATTGTAGTGTAAATCAGAGGTTGCATTAGACTCCCGCATTGTCTGTCATTTTGACACTGACAGACGGGGTCGTAAAAAAAAATTGTCATAATCTATTATTATCAGTCATTTTAATTTTCATATTTTAATGATAATATTGATCATTGATCAAAGCATATATGTAGATACACATTAAATATGGTAAACGGAAGCCCAAGCATGCCTGCAAGAACAAACAATGTTCATCATTTCATTCACATCATTTGCTAGCCTATACCTCAGTGCCATGGGTCCCCTTTTTGTTTACATTGATTTGTTGCATTAATATTCATACAGATAGTTGCATAGTTTACCTTTCACTTAAAGGTACAGTATGTAAGATTTTTGTAAAATATCCAGACATCACTTGCACAGTGTGTGTATACACTCACCCAAAGGATTATTAGGAACACCTCTTCAATGTCTCACTAATGCAATTAACTAAAGCAATCTAATCAACCAATCACATGGCAGTTGCTTCAATGCATTTAGGGGTGTGGTCCTGGTCAAGACAATTTCCTGAACTCCAAACTCAATGTCAAAATGGGAAAGAAAGGTGATTTAAGCAATTTTGAGAGTGGCATGGTTGTTGGTGCCAGACGGGCCAGTCTGAGTATTTCACAATCTGCTCAGTTACTGGGATTTTCACGCACAACCATTTCTAGGGTTTACAAAGAATGGTGTGAAAAGGGAAAAACATCCAGTATGCAGCAGTCCTGTGGGTGAAAATGCCTTGTTGATGCTAGAGGTCAGAGGAGAATGGGCCGACTGATTCAAGCTGATAGAAGAGCAACTTTAACTGAAATAACCACTCGTTACAACCGAGGTATGCAGCAAAGCATTCGTGAAGCCACAACACGCATAACCTTGAGGTGGATGGGCTACAACAATAGAAGAGACCCCACCAGGTACCACTCATCTCCACTACAAATAGGAAAAAGAGGCTATAATTTGCAAGAGCTCACCAAAAATTAGACCGTTGAAGACTGGAAAAATGTTGCCTGGTCTGATAAGTCTAGATTTCTGTTGAGATATTCAGATGGTTGAGTCAGAATTTGGCGTAAACAGAATGAGAACATGGATCCATCATGCATTGTTACCACTGTGCAGGCTGGTGGTGGTGGTGTAATGGTGTGGAGATGTTTTCTTGGCACACTTTAGGCCCCTTAGTGCCAATTGGGCATCGTTTAAATGCCACGGCCTACCTGAGCATCGTTTCTGACCATGTCCATCCCTTTATGCCCTCCATGTACCCATCCTCTGATGGCTACTGTCTACCAGCACGATAATGCATCATGTCATAAAGCTTGAATCATTTCAAATTGGTTTCTTGGACATGACAATGAGTTCACGTACTAAAATGGCTCCCACAGTCACCAGATCTCAACCCAATAGAGCATCTTTGGGATGTGGTGGAACGGGAGCTTCGTGCCCTGGATATGCATCCCACAAATCAACTGCAAGATGCTATCCTATCAATATGGGCCAACATTTCTAAAGAATGCTTTCAGCACCTTGTTGAATCAATGCCACGTAGAATTGAGGCAGTTCTGAAGGTGAAAGGGGGTCAAACACAGTATTAGTATGGTGTTCCTAATAATCCTTTTGGTGAGTGTACTGTATGTGTGTATATTATGTCTATATATGTCCTGCAGTTGTGTACTTACAATATCACAAAAGTTACCAAAGATTTTTATTTTCAGAGAAATTCGCATTTTAAATAATAGCTCATCCCTGGTCATTGTCGCCTGTCTATGAAGTAAAATACGCGCTATCCTTGGTTTCCGCTTGTACTGACATACAGTAGTAACTATGGCGACAGACGTGGAAAACTGTTACGTCTCCTTGTTACAGTGTTACACAAATAAGTACTGAGTACTATTAATTAACAGCATGTTATAATATAATACTCATTTACAACTTACTATAGGGTTTAGGGTTGTAATTATGCATAATTCACTGTTATTACTGTGTAGTACAAAAAATAATGTTAAATTGAACATTTAATTTAAGATTAAATAATATTATTGATGTGCCTGCATTGATGACATCAATGACCCCCCCCCCCCCCCCCCCCCCCCTTTAAACTTATTATTGATTTTGAGTTTTTAATTCTATTACTATATGGTCTGTAGCACTTTGAGATTGCTAAAATGTAAAGTGCAATACAAATAAAATGTATTATTATTATTACTCTAGAACGGCTATATGTGTGTGTGTGTGTGTGTGTGTGTGTATATATATATAAATTAAGTATAAATTAAGTAAATTAATAACTTTTTTAAACACTAAAAAAAGTTTAAAAAAGACGCTATTTTCTTCTGGAAACAGTTTTTTGCATTCTTTTTCTGATCTCTGTAAATCTTTGAATCTGTATTGTAAAAATCACTATATATTAATAAATGTGACTTGGCCTGTAATATGTAACAAGAACATTATAAAATAAAGTGTTATTGCACTTTTTGCTAATATGATTTCTAATTTATTAAATCTTCTTGAAAATTATTATTTGTCATGATTTGTTTTGTGTTTCAGGGCTGTCTGGCCCCTGTTAAAGTCCTCATCCCCCCCGGTTCAATCCTGCAGCCGTCTGAGAATGCTGCAGTAGTGGGTGGTAATGTGCTGACTTCACAGAGAGTGGTGGACGTCATCTTCAGAGCCTTCCAAGTGTGTGCGGCCTCACAGGTGTGTGTTTTATCACACAGAATCATCTATATCTATGGCAGCTTCTGAACTCGCATAGCAAAAATCCTGACCTGGATTTCACACCATACACCTTTGGCTGTTTGAGTCAATTCCAAGTTATTTGTATAGCGCTTTTTACAATACACATTGTCTTAAAGTATCTTTGCAGAAAATCATCATTTTAATGTTTAGAATATCTTAATATATCCATGCTTTTATATTCGCATTTAGCAGCTTAGAGCTGGGAAATATTATAGTTTACATTTTGCAACAATACAAGCAACCAGGCAGTCATATACCTGTAGATATACCCCTAACCCCAACCCTAAACATACTCTTCACTTGGTGTAAGCAGATCACATGAAAATGAATGGAAATTATACAAATACTAATTATCTCACCA